GGGGAATCAGCAAAGAGGAGATCCATGCATGGTTTGGGGGTGGCATCACTGAGGCCGCAGTGAGGCGTTAGAATAGAAGCAGTGCGCATATACGTAATACACCATGTGGAGAGATAGTAAGTACACTGTACGAGAAGGCGCAGACTGAACTACTACTAAGCGCTACCTTGAACGGAAATTCAGGGCCGCAAGGATGGTGGTGGGAAAAACAGTGAATAAGTACTGGTTGGGGAGCTGCTCAAGTTCAACTTGTTAGGAGCGAGCCAACACTTTGCGCAAAGGTGGAAAAGTGGCAAAGGGTACCAAACAAAGGACTTGAAGAAAATAGAGCGTGCGTAGATCTCGTCGACAATGTATTGTATATATCATGTAGATACAAACACATCTCAGACGCACGGTATCTATATCAGGTTGGAATGTCGCCGACATGACCTGATAGCGACTTGTCAAGCGCTGCTGAACCAACCGATTTGACTGCAGATAGACACGCTTATAACCTGTGAACGGATGGACAACGAAGCGTGTCAGAAATCGAGGGCAGGTGGGCCAAATCATGATCTGTTAACTCAGCAAATATTCAGTCAGTATGTTGCGAGTGCGACGGAAAATAAATACACTCACCCTGACATAACTATTAAGCAATTGCATCGAAGACAGGACGTAGCTATAAGATTATGATAGTTATAAGCTATGAATAGATTGTCCATTCTTCCGTCAGAGGATAAAGATTGATAGCGGATCAATGTACAGACGTCGTGACGAGAACTGATATATTTGGTCGGAAGTGCTTGACCTCGACAAAGAAGCGATTCGCTCATGTCTAAACAACGGACGCTTAGTAGCTTAAATCAGCGAGGCTCGAGCTTACAACAGGATAAACTCGCTCACATTCTAAGAAAAGCGGAAAATGACTTCTAAGGTACATTGGAAACCTCATGATCTGGAAAAAGTGGGAAAAGACCTCGATCAGCACGGCTCGAGCCCGAAGGAGAACGAAAATACTCACGAGATGCGAACATTAGACTCACTATCATCATGCGAACAATGCAAAACCGTTTGGGCCAGAATGTTCCATAATGTGATGTGTCAATAAACAAAGTCCGCAACGTATTAAATGTCACATGTTGATGTGACGCGTCCAAAACTTCCATTATCCATCACACGTCCATCACATACTCCCTTGTCACTACATATTGCTTCTTTATCCATGGCGGTGGTAACACGATCGATGAAGGAAAAAATGGATAAAGCCACCTTTTACATCTTAATACACACGAAACAGGTGAGCGAGAGCCTCTATTTTGATAAGTACTGACAATTCAATAGAAAACGACACTCAAAGGCTGTGGTACAAGAAGGCCAAACATTGTACACATTTACAAACGCCCTCTACCAGCCAACTCTGTCTCGCGCGGAACAAGGAGCGGGGTACACATGAAACGTCCTGTGGAGCCATTGGTAAGTAGACCGCACGTGTCGTTTTCCAAACAACTGACATCAGCAAGGATGAAGACACGGCTTCCAATACTTTGGGATCGGAAGATGGCTTAGTTATTATTGCTACACAAGAGAATTCCGGAGATGGAATGGGACAGGATGAATCATGTGAAGCGATGGTGAGCTGCTGGTATCTTTGTCCAGGCGACGCTAATTCACCAAACTCTTTTTAGATGGATGCCACGAACGGAAGTCTGTACGCTCGTTCGGACAGTTTGGTTAGTACACATACACCAGAAGCTTCCGTGGATGGAATGAGGGAGCATGAATCTAATGAAGCTATGGTAAGCTGCTTGGACTTTGGTGCGGGCGATGCTGATACTCCACCCATTTCAGATGGATGCCATAGATCCGATCCAGCACGCTGGGCCCAGCGAGTTCCCTATTAAAAAGGAGGAACATTACCATGAGGTGATTAAGCAGGAACCTGCTTATAATGCGTCGTTATTGTCCTCTATAGTGAGTCTTGGCAATCATTATCTGGACTTGACTGATATATGAAAGGATCAGGACACACGCTCCATCGCTATGCAGGTTCACAGAAGTTCCAGCCCGTCCGTCGTCAAAGAGGAATCGAAGGAGATGGAACGTGCTCTCATGTTTCACCTGATGGGGTGTATTGCCCGTCGTTAGTTCACTTCTGAAAAAGTATTTCATAGCTTTGTACACAACCGTCTGTTACTGTTACATTAACGAATATATGATACTTTGCGCTATAGAAGTCCGGGCGTTACATGAGATATTGAACATTTCAATATATTGTCTGGTATAATCGTATACGGGCGCGCAGATCTACTGCAGAGCGTATGATATCCTGTCAATGCCTTGAACTGCTTTAGATGAAGGACAACAATATGAAAGATGCAGACTCATGTCTGGACATGTGCTCATCCTTCTGTACTTATTTTCAGGGACAGAGATACGGAAAATATCTTATATAAATGTCTGATTTTGTAAGAGTGCCAATACAACCAAACGACCGCAGGTCATCGCTTGTATTTTTATAAGTACTAAAGAATAAATAGAAAGCGTCACGGACACCATCTGTATCAACATATAATATAATGCATACACCTGTTGGGGGTTTTGACCGTGTTCCTTGATCTATCTACATGTCCATAATACATCCATTTAAATGTCCTCTCTTTTTCTCCAATTCTCTATAATACTCGCGCATCTCCTGAGTGTATTATGCTTCTGGACGTCCTTCATCTCTTCCTCTAGCCAAGCCGACTCCGTTTAATCCGACCCGGCATCTTATCTATCCAATCGTCTGGCCTGCGATCTAAGACGATCACTTCATCGTCGTCATCTGTTCGTCCGCGTTTCGTCCTATTCGGCTTGTCGACCCAGTTAGAAGGCTTGTGATCTAAAACTAACACGTCGGAGGAGGAGTCAGAAGATTCAGACCCGGTGTCGGATGCGTTGTCATCGGAGGAGCCAGAAGATTCGGACTCCGTCCCAGATGCATTGGCATCGGAGGAGTCATAATATTCAGACTCGGCAACGGCTTGTTCTTCCGCATTAATTCGAACTGTTGTATTAACGCTTGAGTACAGAAAGAAAATACATAAGTAAAATGATCGCTTACCATAACTGCACAGCTGTTGACATGCGATGCACGCTTCGCCCGTTCGTCCTCGGCAAATCCTTTTTATGTCCTTGCAGTGATTGCAGCGCGGACGCATTTTGCGAACCGCGCGCATTACGGGGGTTCGCCTTGGGGGAGGTCCTAATATTGTGAACAATTGTAAGTGAAGAGGGATGCAGAAGTACGGCGACGGCTTACCTGGTAACAGAGAACAACGGTCGCAGCATCTTCTGCATGGTGATGAGGAAGAATACGCATAGCATGGTACGTTGTCAGCCATGCAGGATGCACATCCCGGCTCCATCAAGGTAAGCTTGGGCGCCGTAAACATGGATGTGAGATGAGAAGTTGGAATAGAGAATTGGTGGGTCGGCAACGAGCCTTTCAAGAGTTCACGAGAGTAATAAATGTCCACAGTGGACGTTCCAAAATCCGTCTATTGTATTTTTGCACCCGAAAATATCCACAGTGGCCGTCCCAGATTCCATTATGCTACACAAAATGACAGTAGACACAATTTCACAATTATGTCCATCACGCAACATGTGGATATATAATTTATTGTAAATCTGAGCTCGACCGCTATTTTATACATAAATGTATTAGCATTCCGATGCGATGGGTATATTTCAATCGACTTTATGAAAATCACATATATATGACGTTTACAGTTTGATATCGGAGGACATCTTAGTCGTTTACGGTACGCGACAAGCTTCAATACATTGAATGAGGAAGAATGAGGCTTGTAAAGCAATTGTGATTGCTGAGATTTTGGTCGAGGCGAAGCTGATGAGCCAAACTGATTTCAGATGGATGCCGCCGTAGACATCATTCAGGACGCCCGTTCGGACAACTCAGTTCGTACCCTATACCAGAGGCTTTGGTGGATGCAGTGAGAAAAAATGAATCTTATGAGGCGATGTTGAGCCCATGCACATCATAAAATAAGAACCGAAGTAGATGGAACTGTTTCAGATGTCTCACTTGATGGCATGTATTGCAAGTCGTTAGTCCATTGCTCACAAAGTATTCCATAGCCTGGTACACAAAACTCTGTTACTGTTACATTAATCAATACATGATGCATTCGTGCTATAGCAGTGCACATATCACATGGGATATTGAACGTCTAAATATACTGTCCAGTATTGTAGGATGAGGGTCCGTAGATCTACCGAAATGCGCGTGATGCCCTTTCAACTCCTGGAATCGCTTCAGATGGTGGACAACAGTATACGACATGCGTACTCACGTCTGGACCAGCCTGTATCAATCAAAAAACTTGGGATTGACCTTCTCAAGACCGCTGCAAAACCAGAGAAATGCTTCTACCAAATTATTGTACCTTCCTGCATCCGTGGAATCTTTCACAATCCATGCCACGAAGTCCTCATAGCTCGCCAAAGATGCTCCTTCGCCGATCTCGTTTATCATTAACTGTCGAAATCCTGGGTTGTGCCACATGCAAAATACCGCCTTGAAAATGAACCCAGCGAATGGACATTTTTCACCTTTACGGTACGAAAAGCCTGCATGGCATGCTGGTTCCTCCCCGTTTCTGTTTCGCGATTGGGGAAGGCAGCATTGAAAACAATAAGTGTAGCGTTCGAATGAGAAGCTCAATTTGAAAGCTCCATACAAATCCATCGAAAGAACGGTGTCCATGGTGCACCTGTGATTGGCTGCTGGGACAAGACAACCGCCATTACCAAAATGTGACGGACACTTGTCCTTTAAGACCTTCATGTACTTGTCCAGGCGGGCAGTGCTGGAGAGACGGTTATGAAGTGAGGTGTTTACTGCGCTCGCTCGTGATACGAATGTACGAGACACACTGGGAAGCGATGAGGTCGATGGAGTCTCGATATGGACGGCCCTTCCTAGAGATGGCTGCGATTTGGTCTGTCAAAATAAGTAAGTATAATCGCATGGAATTTTAACACATGCATACCGTATATGACTTGTCTGAAGATTCACCATTACCCTAAAACAGGTACAGAATCAGCTCCCGTACGATATCACACATAATACATACTCACCTTACCATGGATTTCCTCCATGGAGTCGAGCATCAAAGCCTGAAATGAAGTGAGCTCTAATGCACCCGCGTCGTACAAAGCATCGCTCGACTGAGAAGGCTGTGGGGTGATCGTGTGGGACTGTACAGTTCGCATATAAACATACAATAGGATTGTGGGTATATTTAAAAACTCACAATCATATTCATCGAAAGAAGCGACGACACTGGCACAAATCCAGTAGATAAGGGCGGAGGAGCATGCGTGGGTGCTTGAAGCATAGATCCACTTGCAAAAACTGGGGTGACTGCATGCTCGGATGCCTCGGGTGGCCTGAATGGGTTTGCTATTGCCTGAATGGACAATCGCTGCATGACGCTGTTCGGATCACAAACGTCGCAATGGATCCCTGGAGGGTAATCCGTGCACCGCACAGCGAGGTTGGTGGCCATCCATGCAGGTCATGTTGGCGAAGCGCCGACATTCCGTACCGTGTACTAGATCGTCCAACTCTCCGATACATTGATCAGTCGGTGGTCCTCTGTATGTCTTCGCTCGTCTGTCAGTAAGGAAAAATACGTGAGACTCCTTTCCGTCTCTGCCTGCACGACCGAGCATCTGGTTGTTGACGAGAAGGCCGTACGAAGGTTTAAAGATCACAACATATCGGACGTGAGGCCTGTCCAATACCCTGGGCAAATGCTGTGGTGCATGCCATCACCTTTGTATCGCCTGAATCCCACCGAGAAAGGTTAGATGCTCTGCTATTTCCAGCCTCCCAGAGATCGCTATGATAAACCGCACAATTGGCCTTCACTGCGAATGCTTGTGCGTCCCCCTGGGAGCCGCAGAAAACCAGAATACGTTCCTCCTCAGCAAGTAGTTTGCATAGAGCGGAGACGAGGTGTCCCAGAGACTGCATGGCCGCGATAGGCTGTATTTGTATGACATGCATCCCGATCTCTGGACGATTTGTATCCGACCGAACTTGCGTGACGATGCCAAGATGCAATCCAAATGGTTTGATGAAATTTGCGATACGGTGCGGTGGTCCCGTCCCTGTCATAAGCACAATCCTGATTAGCGTCTTTCCGAATTGCTGCGCGAGATTTTTCCATGGAACAACTCGTCCTGGATGACAGTTCATGATGTCGTGGAATTCGTCTACAAACACCCTGTTGAACTTCCGTCCGAGTGGAGATACAAGGAAGCTATCGTTAAACCATTAGCCATGTCCAGACCTTATAGGTTTACAGCTACCTTTCAAACGGATGCGACGAGCAATGCTCTACCTGCACGAACAAACTCTGTGCATTCTCCGGAACGACCTTGGAGACGCAGTAGTTGTGGCAACGTAGTCCAGTAGACGCGGTAGCCATGAAACTGTTGGTCCAGCAGAGCTACGAACGGGCACACACAATAGACCTGGAATTTTCATTTATCACTGATGGAATCATCCACGACATGCTCTTGCCGCCTCCTGTCCTCATCGTGATGACGAGGTCCGTATGTGCTGACATTACTGCCATTAGCATGTCCATCTGATCGGGGGTCTTTTCTGTTGCACTATCGTCCTTCCTGATGTGTCTGATCGCTCGTCTAATGTTCTCTTGAACGTCCTGAACGGCGCTTGGGGGCGATGATGGTGTACCAAAACTAGTGACTGCACGTTTTGATGGGCTGCATTCGCCAGAAACAAGCTAGCTGCATCGATCGGCATCTGTTGGACTGATGCTGCGGTCTTACGAAGACGTTTGATAGGCATGTTCTCGTCTGGGCTCGAGTCCTCACCGCTGCTAGAGAGGCTGATGACCTCCACAGGCACCTGGGGTACTGATGTTCTCGACCCACGAAGGCGTTTCAGCTGTATAGTATCAAGACTGGACAACTCCTCGTCGCTGGAGATATCCATCACCTCCGAAGACAACCTGCGAACGTGTTTCGTCGATTCCGCGACGCGTTCTAATGATAGTTTGACCCGTGGTGCGTACTTCCGTGCGCGGTGTGCAGTTGGTGTGACTGGGTATGAACCGGACGTAGATGGGATGGAATTGTGATGCGAGACACTGCGAGGCGCGTGTTTTCTTCTGGACGCTCTAGCTGGATTGGCGAATGCTCGAGAATGGATGTTCTCATAGTCGCCACGCTTCCGTTTCCCTTTGATGTCTGCGATAGGAGATATAGACGACGACATGACGCCATCAACCAATGGAGGTTCTGGTGTTTTCATAAGCTCTGCCCTTCCCTTTGCGATCTTTGAATGGAGGAAACTCGGACTGATGCGTTGTTGGGACCACGTCGGAGAATGTCGTGGACCCTTCTATGTATTCGGTCTGTGAGATGCTCGTTATCGACGATACTGGGAGTGGGGAGTCCGAAAGCATTTCTCCGCATTGAATATAACCACTTGCAGTGGGCGACACAACAACAGGGGACGCGTTAACTGGCGCATTCAATCATTTTTTAAATTGCATAACATTGGAGCTCGGACTCACCACTGTTGTTATTGTACCCACTGGGACCTGATGAGGAAGCAGGGTCTCGCCGGATACCTGCAAAGCTAATGAGATGTTGGTGTCGATACAACGCATAGTGGTGCTCACCTTCGCTTTCTTCATAGAACATGGCGTCCAAATTACTGCTCAAGTGAAACGATCCCCCGTTCCATGTTGTTGGAAGTGGCGATGAAATTTCCGGTGCATCATCTGTCGCGTCTTTTAGCTGTTTGATTATGGCTGTAGAAATTGTGTCCTTCAAGACGTCAGTGCGGTGTGCGTCCAAAAACTCTTTGATAGTTTCTTGCGTGGTCTTCTTGACCACATCTGCGATGGCCTGGAGCGTCGTCCCGTTAGACATATTCTTGTGCCTGATTCTTATTGCCTCTGGAGGCGCAAGGGGGCCAAGACCAAGGACACTGTGCCACTGATCTCCAAGCCATCTGTGCTTGCACATGCTGTTGTTGGACAATCTAGGGACGACTCCTTGGACGATGCCGTAGTGTGTATGGTCCACACCAGTGGAGTGATCTGCGGATTCAGCGAGGATGTTGTCGGCTTGATCATAAGAGTCGTCTGGAGCGATGAATTCACGACCAATGGTAATCGCGCCCTGGCGGAAATCCCTGACTCCCCATCGACAGTCGAAGTAATCATGGTTCCACTGCTGAATGTTGGCGGAAAACCTTGTAGGACTTGTCCTCACGCCCTCACCGACGCAGAGGTACCTAACATTACATGAATGCATGTGTAAGAGTGGTTTCCATAATCATGGATGGTTCAGGACAATGCTCACGTTCTGTACAGATGCTCGGCCTCTGCTCCATATGCAACCCCAGCAAGGATGGCTTCGGCGGTGCGCAACCCCCCTGCAATCATTTCGAGCACCAAGAATGCGATGTCCTTCGGAACGAACCCTGGGGTGCATGAGTCTCGATCAGTAATGCCGGTCCTTTTGCTGTAAGCTGTCAGGAGGAACATCTCCATCCCCTGCATGAAGAGGTTGCGATGCCTGTCCGAATTGCTGATTTTGTGGTCTACGAACTGGGTTCCGCGACATGAGATGTGAGTGGTGATGTACAGAAGATGGTAGATGGGCTCCCAGACGCATGACGAGCGTCTGAGCAGATCCTTGATGCCGGGGATGTTCCATGCGATTCGTCCTGCGTTGTCGACCATTGCCAGGTCGTAGTGATCAACCAAGTAAAAGAACATGGCGTGGCGATTTTTAAAAAAGGGGTCCTCCGATACGAGCGAATAGCCACGAGTAGAGTTGGTGAGGTCGTCCTTGACCTGCTCTGGCACCATCTTCAACATGAAAATGTCATTGGTGAGGGCGGAATAGCGCGACTTTGACACCTGGAGGAGCCTTTGTATCCCGTCTCTCAGCTTGTCCATGTGCATGGTGTGGACGCCTATCGTGATGGACTTGACGTCTGGATCGACATAGACATTGGGTTCTCTGGTTTGACTAAACACCAAAGAGGACGCATATTGCTGCATCTCATAGATGATGTTGAACGTAGTCGGACGGCCGAGGCGTAGCACCCGATCATGAACACGAGCAACGCGGCTTGAGATAAAAAGGCATGATAAGTGTATCGAAGCGAATGAATGGGGAGACTTGCTCACTCATGGTCGTCTGAATGTACTGAGTCCGTATCCTCGTCTTTGTCCATCAGCGCCTCAAGGAGGGATGTGACGTTGCAAAGATATTTAAACTTTGCAAGATCTGGTGTGAGGACGGACGCTTCACAGAAGTTTCCGTCCGCACGCAACGCCCTGAGCCAGATGGCTCGTTTGATAGGGTTTGCCCATCGCTGGCCCACGCACAAATCTGGATCGGTATCGACTAGGGACCACGCCAAATTATGGTAGAAAATCATCCTCTTTCGTGGGGAGGCATTCTCGTCGCCCAGCACAGTCACAAGTTCCTCGAGACACAGGGTCTGCGCAGCAGACAGCTCGAACGAGAAATCCAATGGGAATCCGAGGTGAACGCGCATGATCGCCCTCATGAATTGAACAATGAAGCCTGGATACTCGACGTTTTCATCCGACACAGGCCTCCAATGATTGTCCCTATACGCGTCCATCACGGTCAATAATGGAATTATTATGGTGCGATAGCACTGCTCACGTTTCTCGCGGTATTGCGTCACCATACAACAGTATTTTAGACAGGCTCAACCTATGAGGATGACCATCCAAGATGGTCGATGCCCTAGCCATGTGGTCTTGCACTGCAGCAGCGAGACGGGTCAGAATTCCGCCAAATTCATCATCGCTATGCTTTTTTTGATTTGTTCCGCTGCCCGCCTCCGGGCTGGATTCATCCGGAGTTCTACCTCGAACCTGTCCCAACCCATGAAGCGTATCAGGGGAGTCCTCTCCCGTTCGGTATTGGCTGGAACGACCAATGAAAGCTCAACTGCAGGTAGGAATGTAGCCTTAAGCGTGGATTTGAGATTGGGTCTCGCAGATGGAATGACGTTTTGCCCAACCTCGAAATACGAGTTGCCAACAGCAGTAAAGATATGTTGGACCAGACAAGACCGATACTGGATCTCCTGTAAGCCGGTAACGCTGTGCTTCTCTCTACTATGGCGCTGAATGGTTCCTAAATCCTTCACGGCATACACGCAATCAGCGGATGCAGTGCATGAAAAACCTTCAACGGGGGACGCAATCATCTGTACAGGTGGTCCACCTGCTGTTGGTAGCTTGACATGCTCTGGCTTCTCGTGAACATTTGACCGCGAACAATAGTCCAGGAATGACTCCATGGTGGATGAAGGTACCTAGTAGTTACGTGGGATGCCCATGTCAAATTAGAGTGCGGCCGTACAAGGGATGAACGTACCTGATACGCATGATGGTGCTTTTTCCTGTGTCCAGAAACCATCCCGGAGGTCAATGCGACCTTGCACGAGTAGCAGATAAGGAACCTCAAATGGCTGTGAAAGCACACGCCGAGAGAATCTAGAACCTCGTTGGACATCAAGTAGTCTACTGATGGCGACAATGAGACAGTGCTGGAGTCCATATCAAAGGAAGGATCTGCGTATGCGAGATGGACGCTACGTTAAGCGGTGACCTTGAATTTTCATTATATGTATGTTCACCTCTGCTGCAGACATCCTCACGGGATGGACCTTCTGGGACTAAATCGTCGGACCAGACATCCTCTGGGCCTTGATAAATGGGTAAACATGTGACAGCATAATATGACGTGTTAAGACTGACATATGAGGTTGCCAGTCCCATCGCGGACACCGCTGTCCTGATCGAGAACCTGTTTGGAGGCCACAACTATTGAGGTCAGTGCGACTTGATGGTGGCTCGATCTGTAATGAAACTTACGACACTCAGGAGCATCAAAGACCTTGATTTTGACTGATGCGTTGTGTGCGACGTTGATGTGCTTCTGAATAGCTTCACGCTTTTTGGAAATGAACTTACACTCCGGGAGCGGGCACGAATAATGTCCATCGGATTGGCCTACAACGTACTCGTTCCCACCAATCAGGAATGGTATAGGGACGGAGTGGTAGCGGTATCGGTGCTTTCGCGCGATGTCGCAGGTCGGGAATGGTCCCATGCCGCATCCTGGGTGGTCACAGACGTCGTTGTCCGACATTTATATCAGTAAGCAGAGTATATGCGATGATAGATTGATAGATGTGATACTTTATCGTTGGATGGCGGATGAATGGCGCTGGCGAGGTTTTATAAGACTTCAAACATACGGGCCTGCACCTGCAGGGACGAAAAAAAATGTGAAGGCGTGGCATGGTAAAAAAAAACGATGGACTAATGACAGCATTTACGAAAATATCAAGACGAAAACGAGACATGGTGATCTCGACGTACAGTGATCGGAGGAAGGCGATTGCAATTCTGTTTGAGCACTCATGATATGTTAGGTTAGATCATTATACATAGAAAATAAAGGTTGATGTCACCGGAAATGAGTCTTCTCACTCGAGGTTCATCCACATAAAGACACGTACTTGTCTTTATCTAGTTAATGCGATCGAAGCGCCCCCTAAAAAAAACTCTTCAATGTTGGAATGAATGGAGGGTACAAAAATGAGACGCAATGATCGGTGACATTTGCATTATGGTCCCGTGTCCAATCATGTTCCAGGCGGATGGGACTCTAATGGCAGCCGTGAACATCGGATGAAAATAAATGTCGTTCGTGGATATGCGCATTGCGCCCAATGGCAATGGTGGAGTAAAGCTATTTTTAGACAGTTAAAGATTTGGCATGGGCAGAGCCCATATCCTTTACACTGGTTGCGAATATCTCACCAGAATACCTCAATAAGTAGTCACAGCTCGTGTACGACTCATTGCATCGATCGCCAGGAAGTCCATACTTGGACACGTCCTTGGCCCAAACAGGGATGGACGAATGATATACATGAGCCGTCGACCCTGCTGAAAAAGATCGAACGGCACATGCTAGTGTCTCAGTAAGGGCTTCATAGATCAACAGGCGACCTAGAACATGCAGGCATCTCAGATGCTTCCAGGCATGCGGACGTGTTCTCCCATGAACTGATATCTGTGGCGCAGAGGTGATAAAGAAAATGAGTTTAATGACCTTGGATGTATTTTCGTCGCTTGCGAAGGATGCCAGCATCACTGACAAGCATGTCGACATGTGATGGAACGTCCGCAACACAATGCAGCTGACACCTGCAGCCATTATCTGGTCTTTGAAATCAAGGATGGTCCAAAATAAAACGATTGAATATGTCCAGGAGCTTGTTCACCAGCTCCCGACCTTTCTATACATCCATTATATGACACCTGGAGCTGACTCGATCTTCAGTGAGATAGATGCACCAAAATGAAATGATCTCTTTTCATGAATCATATACGACGCATGACTTCAAACCGATGTGCATCAGGACAGCGATGAACAAGAGCAGTAAAATAGAACGCTCCAAGGTATATTATGATCTATATACGCGGGTCAAAGTCGCTGGTGATGACGTGGATAAAGAGACATAAAAGAAGCAGTCACGGCCTTGATCATTTTCTTCAAAGCGCCGATAGCAAGAAGAAGGCAAGTTTTTAAGTGATCCTGCTGTCACTCGAGTCACGAAAGCCTGGTTTTTATTTTAAGACTCGTAAATATACGAGTGTAAAGACTGAGAAGGAGCTCACAGAAAGCTGCTGGAGATTCACAATATGACTAAGTCCATCACAAGCGACTCGGACAGGGTGATGCCTGAAATTCTAAATAACGCCGAAGATACTGGATAAGTGAGGTTGACGCCTATGGATCTAAATAAGGGAGGGTGACGCCTAAGATATTGGACACAGCGAGGGTGACGGGGTGACGCCTATAGATCCAAATAAGGGAGGGTGACGCGTAAGATACTGGATACAGCGAGGGTGACGGGGTGACGCCTAAGATACTGGATACAGCGGGGGTGACGGGGTGACGCCTATAGATCCAAATGAGTGAGGGTGACGCCTGAGATACTGGATACGGCGAAGGTGACGGGGTGACGCCTAAGATACTGGATACAGCGGGGGTGACGGGGTGACGCCTATAGATCCAAATGAGTGAGGGTGACGCCTGAGATACTGGATACGGCGAGGGTGACGGGGTGACGGGGTGACGCTTGCGGCAGTTCCAAGAGGACATAATGGCGGATGGGAAAAAGAAGCGAGGGTGACGGACAGCCACTTACGACACCTCATGGGAAAAGAAGGGGTGACGCTGACAGCGCCAAGGGCAAAAATGGCGGATGGGAAAAAAAAAGTGAGGGTGACGGACAGCCACTTACGTGATGGACTTCCATTTATGGACGGGGTGACGGGGTGACGTTTACAGGGGTGCGCCCGTCGCACCAAATAGATAGGGTCTCAAGCACCGGGACCCATGATCTGGTGGACCTGCGAGCCTCTATCCACCCAATATTAATGAAGTCTTTACGATACCTGTACTTGCTTGAGCCGTTATTATTAAGTAAAAGTGTCATTGCTTACTCCATCCTACAGAAGAAGTACAGCCACCCGGATCCTGCCTGCCTTAGAGTTACGACGGTCCAATTCTGCTCTTCAAGCAATTCGCATACAAAGTACCATTGAGCCTCGGGATCCCCTTCTGGACTGCAAGCGAATGGCATTCACCGGCACCTGGGCCATCGTTGAAATTTGAAAGTTGAAACTCTTCAAGTTGCTGTGTCCAATTGGAGCCACGGCCGCCAGGACAAGTTCGTTTATCACATATTACACCACGCCACGGTATGTCAATGTATTATCATTTTCCGATAAGCAGTGAGACGGCCTAGCGACCATGCAAAGTCTATCTAACGGATCTACCTCCCTAACTAGTAGATATCGCGATAGGTGAATCGGTGAGTTTTTTTTGTTACGACTTGTTACGTTTATGATGTCCGACATCAGCCCGCGTCAGCGCTCAGTTGCAAAACCGCATGGTTCCGATTGCTTCCATTACTACTGTGACTACATGACACTGATGTGCCGAATTCTTTTCAGACAGCGTAACCACACATAAAGTATTCCCAGACTCACCTCCTGAGAATGCGTCCGCTGGATATCCTCGAACACTGCCCTGCCACAGCAGAAACCGAATATAGATTTACGTCCAGTGCTCTGACTCACCAGTTAACAACTTTTTTTTCATTGATCTGCCTACAGCTCACAGTACCAGATCACACGTCGCTGGTATGCTTACGGCCGCACTACTGACCCTCGATCTTCAGAAAGCGTATGGGAAAGATAATTGGAACGCTCTAGCTGACAATTTGCAGACCTTGCAAGATGCACAACCCGCATCTGTCGCTTGCACAGCAAGCAAGTGCTTTCTCCCGCTCCCGTTTTGTGCAGCTGGGCTCTAGAGGTAATGCTCGCTAGCAATTACGTCTGTCTTGCATCACTGCCTGTCACCCGCTGTTGGTTATCAAGTAAAATGCTTCTGCCACTGATCCACAACCTCTGCGCAGTGTTCTCAATCTGTTCCTCGAAGGCAGTGATCGTTGGTGTCAGGTGAGTTCCTGATTGTGATGTGACAGGCACTCAAAGGCGTTTGGGTTGTCAATGGGCTCATTCTTCAGACTCACAGTCGTCTTATCTGTGCTGGGAACTTCCCATGGCTTTCAATCAAGCGTTTTCACTGAACGTCAGCTGAAACAAGTAACGTCGGGTTCCTGGTGGACTGTTTCAGAACAAGCACTGAACTAACTATATGCATGCAGTGGAACAGCTTCTTGGCGAGGAAATCCTGAAGAGCACAGTCTTATCCCCTCCTTCGGCACTTCTGAATGGCTATTAAACACGCACCGATAAATCGACATAAAAACTCTCTTAAGTGCGCTCCACCCAAATGTCAACTTTGCTCATGCGCAATACAAATAGTGAGTTCAATAGCCCGTAATGACTTATACTCACTATTCCCTCAGAGATCCGACTTTTCTTGCTGCTGCTCCCATTTCTTGAAGGGGCATACGCCAGCGACATCAATATTACCGGCTGCTTCCTCAATTTCAGGTCGAATGCGAACCAGAGCCTTGATCCATCTGGATTGGTGAATGGTAATGGCGGAAATGTCTCATCATCGGACATTCCGAACGCAGTTGGATTTACGTACCAGACGTGTCTCTCGCAGTGCGGCTCTGGAACACAGAATCCCACCTGGTCAAACATATCGCAACAGTTCGGCGCCTGGCTATTACCTTACCTTGCGCTCATCTCTCAGCTGCCTTTCGGTGCAAGACATAGAGTTGACAATCTCATGTCTGCCATCCTCACAGTTGGATCACCGGTTCTCGCTGGCTACTCAATGATTCTCACCATTCTCAATGCCAACTGGATCAGTCGTCGCTTCGAAGACCTATCCTTCCCTAACACTAAAGACGCCGTCCGTATCCTCATAAGCCTTCAACAAAGTCCACTAAGAATAACAAACGAAGACTCGCTGCTGAGCTCTCTCGTCGTCCTGCCACAGAATGATGAATGGTGGCCGAGCATTGCCGGTTTTCTCGACTACACTCATACCTGGTCCATCGCATCTGTCACATCCATTGCGTGGGTTGTTATCGCCTACCTCCTGACAGTCGCCAGCTCACTATCCGACGTCTCCTCCAACATCAATTCCAACGGTCAAGGGACGGGATCGGTGTGGTTGTGGCTTATCCCAATCGTCATAGGTTGGCTGCAACTGTCCCCGAAGTGCGATTATGCACGCGTTAGTAAGGCCATGGATAACGCGGATGCAATGGCATTTGTGGCCACCGATCATGGAGTTTTTATAAAGGCTTCCGATCTTTCGGAAAGACGAGCAGTATTCATTGATACTGATACAGAAAATTCTTCGTCTAACGACGAAATGTTGACTCCACCCGTCTATAACTATGCCAGGGCCATTTCATGGTCTCGGTCTGCGGAGGATGTCTTCAATGCTTTTCGAATAGCCTCCAACAATGCCAAATTACACAGACCGGTCATGATTAATACTACATGGATGAACTCGAATAGGAGGAACTTTATTGAGCCCGGCAACAGGAAGGGCAACGCATCCGAAGTCAATGCTTATTGCAGACTTCCTGAATACGCGGTACGGAGTCCCTGGGCGACAGATATGTTCTTTCGCATGTTCGTAGCCTCGCTGCTGCCCCTAGCTTTGCAATGGGCAACAACTGGATCTGCGGTAATAGTTGTGTATCTAACTCCAACTGTGGTAAGCACTATTTGACATGAGCTTATCTGCGTCTGTTGCTGATTAGCGGCACACTCCAGGGCCTTGGTTGTAGATCTCTCGGTTACCTCGTCTATGGTGCACTTGCAACGGTAGTGTGGGCTATGCTCGTTATGTCGAGCATCCTGTCGCACTACGCATTTTCATACTCGGACAGACCCAGGAGTCCTTTCTCATCTACCACCCTCAGGCTCGCAAAGCTAGTATCGAACCTTTTGAGATGGGGAGGGAAGTTGGTGGCAATCGTCAATGCAATTTGGATAATTGCGGCGGGGATGCTGCAGTTTACAGATATCTATGATAATTGTTACTGCAACTCAAGTGTGTTGGGGAGAGGGGCCCAATATGCTTATGACATTGTCTTGCTCGATGGTGTAAACTTAGCCCCAACCAAAGCTGCTTGGTTCGGAGCGTTGGCTTTGGCCGGGTCTACCTCTTTGGGATTCATTTTTTACATGAGTTTATTGACTGATCTCGTGCCTATATGAGGTCTCCGAAGATAATATACTACACTATACTTCCGGTTCCTTAGTTATATTATAATTGCGCATGTGTTGTGTGTCCAGATCTCGAGCTCCAGTGCACCCTCGCAAAGTACTGAACCGCAGCATCGGCCACGTGTACCCGCACAATGAGGCAAGGTGCGTGAATTCTAGATGACGAAGGGTGGTACATCGGGAAGTGACGAGACTAATTAGAGCTCAAATTGAATCCCGACACCAATATGTATGCAGGTAGGTGATGAGCATGAGACATTAGTCTAGTGGTATCGGACAGGGAAGTGCTGCAGATAGATCTCCAGGGTCTGCTTTGAAAGGAAACTATAGTCCAATATACATGCATCCTTTATGACGCAGACAAGTACAGCTGTTAGATACGCCGATAAAACTATAACTGAATATTACAATGTGTCAGTTTTTTCTTATCAGTAACAAATATCCTCGATACGCACTTTGTCTGAGATCTTCGGAAGAGACCAATACGTCGGTAAAATAAGAGCATTCAAAGCTCCAACCAACCTACGATGTCTTCGACGGGTAGGCGGTGGCTCCTTACCATCGGAATGAGCGGGCTGATATCCATTGGTCTCTGAGATTCCAGTGATTCCCTTGAGGGAACGTCGATTGCTCAGACCAAGAATGAAACTCGGAACAGAGACAGCCACAGTCAGTGCCAAGCCAGAGCACCAAATCATGGTGAATTTGATTTGCCATTTGGGATCTTCGACGTATGAGCTGTAGCCATTCATGCATGCGTTTCAGTGTGCAAGATTGAAATTGTTAGACGTACTCGTAAATCTGAAAGCTACTTGGAACGACTGGAGCAGCCATATTGTCCGGCTAGTTGGAGGTAGCGGCCCAATTGAGACTAGATAACCAGCGCGCACTGCGGATTGAGTACCTGATGATTACTAGTAAGTCGAAATCAAACTAGCAGTACACGGTCGATTGGGGACTGACTGTAATGGTTAGAGTGCCCCTGTATTTGCGTGATGCTATGCTATGCTATGGAATGATTGCCATCATACATCAACAGGGAACCGAGTCTGAGATCTGAAATTCTGAAAGATGCATGGGGAACTGGAGGAAAGTGCTAAGAAACACCGTGAGAATGGGATGCCGCATATTTCGGCTCAATGAACCACGATCTCGACACCCAAGTTCCAATGTTGTGCCTCTGCACGTCTATGTTTCATTGACATCACCTTTACCTCGAGCACAACCCTCCCTCTCGTCAAAGCCCCACATTCAGATGTTTACCGCAATGGTCCGCTCCTGTAACCTCTGCCATTTTTCAGCCTCGAGCCACGCTAAATTCTAATGTCAATAGCGATGTCCTTCGTCAAAGTATGGTCCCGTCACCTTCAATGATAAGTTGATAACTTTACTCGTTTGGCGTTACCCGCTTGTCGAGTTCTCTGGGCCCAGTTCACCATGTTCCTGATGGGCACTGGATTGGCAGTCATTGGTTTGAGCATCGTTGCAGGCCGGGCGTTATACTCTCAACTTCGAGATGTTGCAGACGACGAATGGGAAATACCTTCTGCTTCCGCACGTGCACTTCCCCATTCCTCCCTCTGTTCCAGGACACTAGCACAAACACCGTTATATCAGGGGACAAATAATTATTGATCGAAGCTCTCAAGCTTCTCGCAGCTCGCTGGCTGCAGTCCTGACCTCCTTAATAGCATCGGCCCCGTCCCTTGTCCCTGCTCCGAGTCTCGGCTCTCCATTCTTTCGAGAATTTCTGATGAGCCACTCAAGACCATATTTCGAAGCAATCTGCATATACTTCTTTCCGCCTTCCGCGAGGATAGGAAGGGGCTCGAAACAATGGATGTGGTCAATCATGTGGCAAGCTTGGGTCGATGCGCTTCTCGTTATTTTCCACTTGTTGATCTGTAATAGAGGCGAACGATGATACAACCGAAATCTGTTCGGGAGCGACTCGGAGTAGTTCTCAGTCTCAATGAGCTCAATTTTACGGCTTGTTATCATTTTTGCCGTCATTTTTCTCTCCTTTTGAGCTGTTTCAATTATGCAATAGATAAGTCTACACTAATTTGCCAACAGACCTTGCGTGGCAGTCTGCTGGCAGTATTCAGCATATAAGTGCAGGGTGTCTTCCTACTCCCATACCACATCCTCACTCATAATGCGTTTCTCCTCTGCGATTGTCCTCGCCGTTGCTGCTGCTTTAGCATCATCGATCTCTGCCACGCCCACACCCATTGACAGTGGCACCGAGACATGTCCCCGCTGGTGCTTATATGATAGCCACTGCTCAAGCTGCCCTACCCATGGGCAGAAATGCGTGAGTTTTAGTGGGCTGTGTCCTAGATTCAATCGTATGACTAACCGGCACGCCAGGTCTTTCCTAAGTGCTCAGTGAGTCGTGTTTCAGCTCTCACATCGGTGCAATATGGTTCATGGCACTGACACGCGAGTTACTAGACGCCCTGGACACTAGATACGTGATCACGTGGAATACCGAGGAAGTTAAAAGGGTACGGTCTGACGGGTCCGGAGGTACGGGAGCATGTACTTACGGAATCATTAACAGCAGTAGCTGTATCAGTCCTTGTAACACCACGAAAAATGCGCTCATGGTGTGATGCAACTTAATGTCGGATGTATCAGAGTGCCGTGTTGTCCCTTAGCAGTGTGATTTGAAATTTGAAAGCGCTTTTGAAAGTTGAAGTGAGTTAAAATGTTGCGCTCGTCGTTGACAACAGCGAGCTTGTACATTGCATATCGCGCGTCATGATGAAGTCAAGGCACGCTCGAATGACGAACTCGTAAGCAGGTCCACCCTCCCAGCAGCTTGCGTCCTAGATCACTGTATGAACTCCATACATCCTGGTCACGACATTCAAGTTCTGACCCGTCATGGAAGAATCTTCACCTTTATAGATCTCTGGAATGAGATATGTCCACCACTGCAGACCCATCAGAGCACTTGGCTCCTGAGCATGCACTACATATCAGCTGTCAACTTCGTCAGAACCTTGACGAAGAGACGAGCAACAGACACCGTGACGAGGAACCGAAGAGCGAGATGGGCGGACAAAAATTTACCATAGGCCTCATTAACTTACACGTTGCCTACATGTAGCATCGTCTACGACAATTCATCTCAAATTTAATTCCCCTCCGAACTCCCTCTTCTTATTTCCTGCTGCGCATTTGAAAGCACATCTGCAGGAGACAAGTTCTGAAGCTTGGAGAGAGGAAGAAACTTATGACTTTTGGTCAGCGCGCCAGGGACCCTTTCTAACTGAAACTCGTGATTTATCATAACTTACAAGATAAACTCATTACTTCTCTACACAACAACCTCCGACCTCCATTATTCTTATCAGCACTTGATGAAATTTCCAACGATCATACTCGGTATGCCCCACTTATCCCGCCTGATTGTGAATGAGAAGCAACAGTTTACGAAGCCCTCCTCATTGGGAACATCCTCCTTTTTCGGCGATTGTGACTGCGTATTGATGAGAGGTTTATAACGTAGCACGCAAGAAGTGAGCACGGCCTTTTGAGAAGAGTCGAAAGCAACATGGCCATATTTCTAACATGTGTGATCAAAAGTTGAAGCGAGTTACGACGGACTAGACTCACCTCCCAGTAATTGACTGCCGACTCTTCTGCCATAAGCTCGTAGATACAAAGGCGGCCCTACAACAGAAAGAATTAGCTCCTGCAGGCATTGATAGTCACGTTGAGGCAGCTTACGTCTCGCATCATGTATCCATCGACGCCTACGAGTTCTGAAAACTCACGGTTTCCTTTATAGATCTCACCTGTTCGGCGCCAGAGACACGCTGGGACACCCATAGCTGAGAAGACACGGTCGTAATCGAGAAGTAATCGCTCGAAGGCCTCTTCTATGAATACAAGGTCCTTGTAACATGGTCAATTGCAAAATACATCAACAGGGACCTCAAACTCACGATATCACGTAGGGATTGCGCAACAGCCTAAGTATGATTAGCAACTTTTGCAAATATCATAAAGCCTCCTCGCTCACCCGGAACTTGGGCCGTAGCACAGACAACGGTTGCAAAATTTGCTGCTTCGATTGTCGAGAGACACTTAAGATGAACAGGTGTCAAATCATTGTCTCAACACGAAGACGTTTGACGCACTTGCGATCCATCCACCTTGACAACCGTGCATAGCCCTTGACATAATCATACGGTTTGAGTAGACCTGCCTCGTATTTGCTCCGAATAACGCGGTTCAGTCGTTCGTCGCGAGTACCTGACTCTTGATCTGCAGCAGTCATCAAAAACTTTTCTGTCTTGGTGGCAGACGGTAGAAGAGGAGGCGTGGGCTCTTCAGCGAGTGCCTCAGGGGGATGTGCTGGAGAATTGGATGTTGTTTCAGCAGCAGAAGTAGAATTTGAGATGTAAGGAGTGTTCTGAGAGAACGCGGGAGTAGGCATGAGGGAAGGGGTCACTGCTGGGGATGTAGTGAAGAAAGATCCCTCGTCTAGGGTTTCTAAGAAGTCACTGGAGCAACTAAGTGGAGCGCATGGTAGAGTGACAATAAAACGACATACGTGAGGACTGAAAATTCGTTCCCTAAGGTTTCGGGTTGATACAGAAATGCGCCAGAAGGAACACTCATTGGCCATGCGGTGGTAGCTGGAGGAGGAGGCATTGTTGAACCATACATAGGCTCTGCGTAGATCTCTCTCAGCATGGGGAATATAGAATCATGATATACGCACGAGCCATCGACCTTGCATGATCAACACCGTTTGACGAAGTAGTTGGAACAGCATCAGAACCCTGCTTCCCACCAGTCTTCGGTGGTCGCTGTTCGTCATGGCAAAGATGACCAATCTCGCGCTTGATACTACAGACTCATCAGCACATGCAACCGTGTATGTATCAAGTATGTTCGAGGGTGCTCACCAGCGTTGGCAGGGTCTGCCTTCGTCGCAAGTCATATGACTACGTCGACAATAGAGGCACGCGTGGTTGACCTTTCTTCGTTTCGTGGTCTTTCTTTTCTTTGAAGGATCGTCGGCCTCTGGTGTATGGGAAGTCGATTCTGGCTCATGGTGACCAGAAGGATCCACTGCTGGGCCGGCATATGGATGGGCGGTAACAGTATAGTTTGTCATGATATGTCTGGGATAGATAAATCCAAGGTATACCAACCAAGGAAAGATCGAATGAAAGTCGAGTAATAATATTGTAGTCGTTGGCTCGTAGGTGGAGTTTCTAGGTTTCTGAGCCTGATCACACGATTTTGGAAGCGTATAACATTGCAACGTATCGCCTGCTCACAAGGACCTACAACATGCCGCGGCGGACCCCAAACACCTCGCTCGCTTAATACACGAGGGACTACCATCTCTGGGCACAGTACAAAGTTTCATTGAGTGGCAGTCACGCTATGTAAAATACTAAAAAAGCTGGCAAATAGATACATAAAGCAAGAGCAGCGAGTTAGATTCCCCTGAGATCCTCACTAACTTATAGGTACAATCGATCACACACCAGTCCTCCAACAATGCTCGGGCGAAAGAAACAGAGTTCTTCTATCTGTCGCCCGCATCGACATTATCCCCGAACCACTGCAGAGGTGCGTAAGCATCCCTGACCTTTACTCTTGATGGCAAACTAACCTTAACAAGGAATTTCGCAGACTCTTTGGGATATCGCTGTTGGGTCTCATAATCGACGTATGTTACCCCAAATCGTGTGGTGTATCCATCCGCCCTGGAAGGGACATAAGCGCTTAGCGAAGGGGGATATCATCAATCTTTCTGACTCACCACTCAAAGTTATCCAGAAAGCCTAGGAAAGAAGGAAGGTATAAGATTAGAAAATTTGATCGCGAATGATAAGAATACATACTCCACGGGAAATAGGCTCTGACATCGACACCGTCCTCAAGCACAGCAGCCTTGAGAGAAGCGGTGTTACCCTTGAAGTAGTTCACACGGTCGTTGTCCTGCAATGCCTCCTCAATCGGCTTCGAACTCTCATCTTTGACAGCGAATCCATTTTCGGTGACGCTGAAGTCAAGGTCAGCGCATCGCCCCAACTGCTGCCTCGGAATAGCTCACTAGATGGGTAGTTTGTATCTCTGTTAAATGCCCGTCAGTAACCGTAATGCGTGCACACATGAACTGGTGGGCAAACCTTCCAAATGTAATTAAGCAACTATTTTGACACGAAGGAACCGAAGGTGTCAGCCATGTTTCTCTCATACTAACTATTTTACTACTCACATCGCGAAATCCTTCGGGGTCTGGAGTATAATAGGGATGTCAGTAAAATATTCATCATGTCTCATATTCATATTATCTCCTAACTTACAGTCCTGCAACCAGGCACAGTGCGCTGCAACATCGCCATGAATTTCAGGTTCTAAATCTAGAAGGCAGGAGACAAATTACCTTGGGTACCTAATTGAGTGCCGTCAGGACGGATGAAAGTATACTCGACGAATCCTTGGAATTCATCATCGCCACCGGCTCCTGTAATGACAGTTCAGGCGCATGAGACTCAAAGCGGATAAATGAACGTACTGCACAAGTGGGTGGTGTAGGTGTTCATGCCATAGAAATCAGAGGATCCTTTGACGACCTTCAATTCTTCTGGTGTAAACTCCGGCAGACGCTCCCGGAGCATCTGTTTCATATATTCCGGGTAATGACCGAGATAGATTGGATCCTGGCAAATAGCATTTGTGTTATTTAACGACTCGACAGAGCATACGACTTGAAGCTTACAGCGAACCATCCTATCAACCGACCGTCAGCACAGACCGGATGCTACAGGCACGGACCGAACTTACCAATAACTACGTCAAGGGCGTGCTGTGCCGCTTCCACATCTGAAAACACGGACGCGTGTCATCAATATCCGTTCATCATATCAGCAAACCGGAGATTGCACTTACTCTGTGGACTATCATCGTATGGCATGGCCCAGTCACCATTGAGCGTGATTCCGATCTGGCCACCCTGTGCGGCCTTGAACTCCTCGCGATAAAGTCTGACTGCGTATGCGTGCGATAAAATGACGCTGTGGCCAACTCTGTGGGGCGGTGTGGAATTAGAAAGCTAATTGCGTACATACAGATGCAAGTGGCAGACGTACATCCACGGTTCGGTGGAGGAGTCGCCTTCGGGTGATCTTTCTCGGTCGCTTGATCGTCCTGGCGCGAAGACGCCCCTTCCATACCCCAGAATTGAGACGCACCATGGCTCGTTCACTGTCAGCCTAAAGACGCGTGGTTGATGGAATGAGTGAATACTCCATCACTATAGAGTACGCACCAGTGCTTGACTCTGTCCCCGAAAGCCTGGAAGCAGACCTGACGACCATATTTTGCTCATTTCAACCATACGCGTAAAAATCACACAACAACTCGCCTTAGCATAGTGGACATAGTCCTGAACGATCTCATCCTTGTTCAACCACCCGCCATATCTGTCGTGCAGGGTCTGGGGAAGGTCCCAGTGGTATAAAGTCTGAGAAAGCATAGTGAGAACTCGCCAGAGTAGCCGCGCGTGCTTTACATACAACAAATGGGATTATGCCATGTTCCAGCAGTGCGTCGATAAGATTGGAGTAGAATGCTATACCCTTGGGATTGACGGGGTCGTTGCGGCCACCAAGCGGGATGATGCGAGACCAGGATAAGGAAAAGCGATAAGACTTGACGCCATAGTGGGCAAGCAGAGCAATGTCCTCCTTCCAGAGCCTGTATGAATCTGTTGCTACATCTCCGTCTCGGCCGTCCAGTGTCTTTTTAGGTTGTTTAGAGAAGTCGTCCCAGATAGACTTTCCGCGTCCATCAACATTGGTGGATCCTTCGATCTGAAAACTTGCTGTAAAACATGTGAATGCATGGTGGTCAACGGAACAAAAGAAACTTACCAGTAGCGAATCCCCATATGAAGTCCTTTGGTAACTTATTTGCAACTTCTGCAGACGTCATTGAATCAGGAGCCAACTTGTGGAGGGTGGTGAGGCATCCTATCACGGAACAGTGAAGCCTCTTAAACTACTAGAGCATATTGCTAACATAGAGGTTCCTGTGAGGATTCTGAGCAAAGTAACCGACAATTATCCGGGTGAGTGTATTGGGAATTTGAAAAGTAAACAGCACAATCTGGTTCGCTTCCTTGTTGAAGTTGCTCCCTGTGATCACAGGTGAAATAGATGAATGCAGGTGGTAATGGGACGGGTTGCATGCACCTGATAAGAATTAGATATAATTTTGATACAAAGAACGCATGCTTTGGAGCAGACACGGGAGTATGTTCCAGACGGTGTTGAACATGTGAGCCATATGTGATGCATCCATACATCATGTGCTGTCCGAGATTTCTCCGTGATAGTCAGGGCATCAGTGTATTCATGAGTTCACGAATCACGATATTCGCCTGCTCACAAGGACCTACAATGCATGCCGCGGCGGACCCCAAACACCTCGCTCGCTTAATACACGAGGGACTGGGCACAGTACAAAGTTTCATTGAGTGGCAGTCACACTATGTAAAATACAAAACAATTGGCAAATAGATACATAAAACAAGAGCAGCGAGTGGGATCCACCTGAGATACCTCACTAACTTGTAGGTACAATCGATTACACACCAGTCCTCTAACAATGCTCGGGCGAAAGCAACAGAGTCCTATGGCAATTTCCTGTCGCCCGTATCGACATTATTTCCAAACCACTGCAGAGGTGCGTAAGCATCCCTGGCCTTTACTCTTGATGGTAAACTAACCTTAACAAGGAATTTTGCAGACTCTTTTGGATATCGCTGTTGGGTCTCAAAATCGACGTATGTTACCCCAAATCGTGTGATGTACCCATCCGCCCTGGGAGGGACATAAGCGAAGGGGGATATCATCAATCTTTCTGACTCACCACTCAAAGTGATCCAGAAAGCCTAGGAAAGAAGGAATAAGATTAGCAAATTTGATCGCGAATGATAAGAATACATACTCCACGGGAAATAGGCTCTGACATCGACACCATCCTCAAGCACAGCAGCCTTGAGAGAAGCCGTGTTACCCTGGAAGTAGTTCACACGGTCGTTGTCCTGCAATGCCTCCTCAATCGACTTCGAACTCTCATCTTTGACAGCGAATCCATTTTCGGTGACGCTGAAGTCAAGGTCAGCGCATCGCCCCAACTGCTGCCTCGGAATGGCTCACTAGATGGGTAGTTTATATCTCTGTTAAATGCCCGTCAGTAACCGTAATACTTGCACACTACGAACTGGTGGGCAAACCTTCCAAATGTAATTAAGCAACTGTTTTGACACGAAGGAACCGAAGGTGTCAGCCATGTTTCTCTCATACTAACCATTATACTCACATCGCGAAATCCTTGGGGGTCTGGATCATAATAGGGATGTCAGTAAAATATCCACTATGTCTCAGATTCATATTATCTTGTAACTTACAGTCCTGCAACCAGGCACAGTGCGCTGCAACATCGTGAATTTCTGATTCTAAATCTAGAAGGCAGGAGACAATTACCTTGGGTACCTAATTGAGTGCCGTCAGGACGGATGAAAGTATACTCAGCGAATCCTTGGAATTCATCATCGCCACCGGCTTCTGTACTGACAGTTCAGGCGCATGAGACTCAAAGCGGATAAAATGAACGCACTGCAAAAGTAGCTGGTGTAGGTGTTCATGCCATAGAAATCAGAGGATCCTTTGACGACCTTCAATTCTTCCGGTGTAAACTCCGGCAGACGCTCCCGGAGCATCTGTTTCATGAATTCCGGGTACTGACCGAGATAGATTGGATCCTGGCAAATAGTATTTGTTGTATTTGCAGACTCAACAGAGCATACGACCTGAAGCTTACAGCGAACCATCCTATCAACCGACCGTCAGAGCAGACCGGATGCTGCAGGCACGGGCCAAACTTACCAATAACTACGTCAAGGGCGTGCTGTGCCGCTTCCACATCTGAAAACACGGACGCGTGTCGTTCATCATCTCAGCAAACCAGAAATTGCACATACTCTGTGGACTGTCATCGTATGGCATGGTCCAGTCACCATTGAGCATGATTCCGATCTGACCACCCTGTGCGTCCTTGAACTCCTCGCGATAAAGTTTGACTACGTATGCGTGCGATAAAATGACGCTGTGGCCAACTCTGTGGGGTAGTATGGAATTAGCAAGCTATTTGCGTGCAGACAGATACAAGTGGCAGACGTACATCCACGGTTCGGTGGAGGAGTCGCCTTCGGGTGATCTTTCTCGGTCGCTTGATCGTCCTGGCGCGAAGATGCCCTTTCCATACCCCAGGATTGAGACGCACCATGGCTCGTTCACTGTCAGCCTAAAGACGCGTGGTTGATGGAATGAGTGAATACTCCATCACTGTGGAGTACGCACCAGTGCTTGACTCTGTCTCCGAAAGCCTGGAAGCAGACCTAATGACCATACTTTTGTTCATTTCAAACATATGCGTAAAAATCACACAACAACTCGCCTTAGCATAGTGGACATAGTCCTGAACGATCTCATCTTTGTTCAACCACCCGCCATATCTGTCATGCAGGGCCTGGGGAAGGTCCCAGTGGTATAAAGTCTGAGAAAGCGTAGTGAGAACTCGCCGAAGTAGCCGCGCATGCTTTACATACAACAAATGGGATTATGCCATGTTCCAGCAGTGCGTCGATAAGATTGGAGTAGAAGGCTATACCCTTAGGATTGACGGGGTCGTTGCGGCCACCAAGCGGGATGATGCGAGACCAGGATAAGGAAAAGCGATAAGACTTGACGCCATAGTGGGCAAGCAGAGCAACGTCCTCCTTCCAGAGCCTGTATGAATCTGTTGCTACATCTCCGTCTCGGCCGTCCAGTGTCTTTTTAGGTTGTTTGGAGAAGTCGTCCCAGATAGACTTTCCGCGTCCATCAACATTGGTGGATCCTTCGATCTGGAAACTTGCTATAAAACATGTTAATGCGTGACGGTGAACGGAACAACGTTGAAAATGAAGAAACTTACCGGTAGCGAATCCCCATATGAAGTCCTTTGGTAACTTATTTGCAACTTCTGCAGACGTCATTAAAGCAGGAGCAAACTTGTAGAGGGTGGTGGGGCACACTGTCACGGAATAGTGAAGCCTCTTAAACTACTAGAGCGCATCGCTACCATAACTCTATCATGGAGGTTCCTGTGAGCAAAGCAACCGACGATTATCCGAGTGAGTGTATTGGGAATTTGAAAAGTAAACAAGAATCCGGTTCGCTGCCTTGTTTAAGTTGCTCCCTGTAATCGCAGGTGATGAAGGCATTACATAAATATTGGGAGGGGTTGCATGCACCTGATAAGAATGAGATATAATTTTGATACAAAGAACGCATGCTTTGGAGCAGACACGAGAGTATGTTCCAGACGGTGCAAGTTGAACATGTGAGCCATATGTGATGCATCATATGCATCATGTGCTCTCCGATATTTTTCCGTGATAGTGGACGGGAATAAAGCGAACCATATAACATCTTTGAATATTTGAATAGTCAAGGCAGAGTACTTGTCTTCGTCCCCGTTGCTGTTAACGTTCATCTTGTCGATTACTAGTCCACGTCGTATTCATGTCAGCTTCAAACACCGCCGGAATCGCCATACTTGGCGCGGGTATTTTCGCCCAGGAAGGTGTGCAACATCAATTGGATTGACCGAACATTCACAACGCTTATAACTTGATAACGTTTACAGCACACCTTCCTGCACTGCAAACGCTTGGCCCTCTTGCACCAAAGCTTAGAGCCGTTTACTCGCGATCAGAGAAGACTGCACGTGAATTTGCAGCCCAAGCAACAACCCTCCTCAACGCTACCCCTGATGTCTACTATGACGGAAACCCATCTTTCAATCTTGATACACTTCTCGCAAGACCTGACATTTCATCCGTTATCGTCATTCTCCCAATCACTCAACAGCCATCCATCATCTTGAAAGCACTCGCTGCCGGCAAGCACGTGCTAAGTGAAAAGCCTGTTGCACCGGACGTGGCGTCTGGTGCCAAATTGATCACTCAGTATGAAGCAGAGTATAAGCCCAAGGGGCTTGTATGGAGAGTAGCCGAAAATTTCGAGGCTGAGCCAGGCTTCATCGCCGCTGGCCGTGCTATCGCTGCCGGCAAGATAGGAAAAGTCACCTTCTTCAGCTCTCGTAACGTCAATTTCATGGACAAGGATTCGAAATGGTATAAGACCCCGTGGCGAACTGTTCCGGACGTGAGTAATTGTCAATCTCCTCGTTCTAATGTATGATCTGACAAGTTCCGGCCCGTGCCTGTGCTTCTATCGGATTAGTATCAAGGAGGCTTCCTGGTAAGATTCGTGTTGTACTCACCTCAACAAGCTGACACGTAGCTGATCATAGCTTGATGGCGGTGTGGTCAGTTCCAAATACTTGCAGAAATCCCCAACTGACTTGCTTCTAGCATTCTGCCGCAGCTCTTCGTGTCATACTCCCAAGTTCAATGACACACCTCTCCGGGTTTGCATCGCTCAACAAGGAGTGGCTTGCGCCCCATGATACCATCAACACAATCATAAAGAACGCGGACGGTTCGCATGGCATTTACGAGCTCAGTTTCGCTGCACCCAGCCCATCTCGTGCCAATGCAGGTGGAGGTCTTGTCTTCACCGGTGCAGATGGCTGGCTTCAGGTTCAGCAGACCCGGGCTCGTGACCTCATCCACAACGTCGAGAAGCCCATTCTTCGCGTCACTATCAAGTCGGCCACCCGCGATGCAAACGGGGTACTTGGCCCCGAAAAGGAGGAGGTTATCGATGAGCCTATCAGAGGCGTAGAATTGGAGCAGGCGAGCTTCTTTGCGGCTATAGATGGAAAAGATGATGGCCTTGGCAGCCCCCTTGGTGCACTGAAGGATGTTGCGGTTATTCAGGCTGCCTTGACTAGTGGTGGTGAACTCATTGATCTCGAGAAACTCATCAGCCAGTCCTAGACGGGCATGTGGCACGGAAAAGTCATGGAAGTATATGATGTACAAAGCAATCGGCATGTAATTATGGGATGGCAACCGTTCCTTTGCGCGATACACATGTATGTATTCGGATGTCTCTTGTAGGTAGTTTCGGATGCCATATGATTGTACTAATTAGAATGCGTGATGGTATGGAAAGACTTTCAGGAATTTTAAGCTGTGTCACAAGTCGACAATGGCGCCCAAGCACCTGATGTAAAAGGTAAAGCGAGCTAGGCAAGATTGGTTCATACTTTGCAAGTTTTTGCGATATTGTGGTCAGACGAGTAGTGGGATGCATATAAGTGCAGGCAGCATTGAAAAATCAACCCTACTGATGCGACCAGGTCAAAACCACCTATGGATACAAATTGAGTGATGGAGATCTTCAAACACAATTTGTACACCTCAGGGATTATGACGATAGCTCACAGTGAAATCAACTCCACAATTAAACCAGGGGATCCAGACTTCCCGTGCAAAACTCGAAAAACGAATGGCTCGATATGCTGGAAAAAAAGTATCGAAAACAGAGGAGACAGAGCGATTACAAAACGCGGAATGTCCAACAGTGAGGAAACATACGCTTATCGTATACCAGAAGGCGGTGACAAGGGCTGAGTGGGAGGAAGAACAAGATTTGTAGGAAGACGGAGATTGAGATCGGTAAACACCCTGTATATTACACCCGCCGATACACCAGCCTCGACCAGATATTCAGGAGAAACGCCCCAGCCTAGGAGATCAAGTACGAGGTTCTTGGTGTGATCCAGGTCTTGGCGAGTCACTATGAGGAAAGTTTCAGTCGACATTTACACTGTACAGAGGAATAGAAGTGTTGACATACTAGGTCCTATATCCGGACGTTGTGGTGTTGATGATGTGGCGGTCAAGCCGCAGGCAGTGATTGAGGGAGAAGGTAAACGGGAGCTCTGAGCAGAGTCAGAGGAATGACTTGCGCCACTTGATATATTCAACAGCTGGCCCGCGATTCGGGGAGAAGTTGAAGCAGTACTTGATGTGTCTTCCTCGGAAATCTCTCCTTCCTCTAGGTTGTCTTGATCTGTTACCGCAGTGATTGACGATGGAGTCTGGAGCTCGTCAGATTGCCCATTCTCTAGAACTGCGAGCGCTGGCTTCAGAGATATCTTGTCTGTCATGTTGGAGAAGAATTAGAAGCTATAGGACTTGAAAAAAGTGACAGGCTATCGAACACGATGATGGCGAGAACATAAAGTTGAACCTTCTAGTGCTGCGTCGAGTTGGCCACCGATTTGTCACGTGCTAAACGCCAACCAGCGACTGGACAATCTCTTCAAATACCAACCTCAGCGAACAGATCTTAGACGTCAGACCCTTGACAACACGTGGATAGTGACCATCGACCAGAAGAGTCTTAGACTGCCTTCCCTTGCATTCTGCCAATTGCGCTCCCCTGGACTCGGAATAGAACGTGATCGGGCCAGTAGTAAGTAACATAAAAAGAACATATTCAGACTGTGATAGTAGTTATTGAACTATGGTAATGTTAGGGCCCTGCCCCAACAATAATCGAGCATTAGAAAAAAGAATGGACCACGGCAATCTTTATCCCACAAGTCCCAGACTTCAGAGAGACGACTGAGATGGCAGGCTGGACTCAGAGATGTGTTTGCGCTTCTAACCCTAGGCTAGAATGATTTTGTAAACAGTCGAAACTCAATACTGTACTCAAGACATACCTTCGGTGTCGTGAAGAGCGAGTAAGTAGAGCACTCGAAAAAACGAGTAACACTAGATAATTACTTTCAGGGGCCCAGCGACGCGTTCCTTATTAGACAGGATGCACATAACACAGACAAGTTAGAACATACTTGTCTCCGGCTCGGCGAGTTTCTTGCTAAGAAGATCGCCCTTACAGAAGCGCCCAAGGAAATCACAATTGCGAGCCGCTGTCATCTGCGGCAGGAGAGTGATGATGACAAGACAAAGAGACAATAATCCTTTCATGACTCCTAAATGTGAAGTGATTGTTGAAGTGAGGGGTGAAGAGTGTAGTATCGATTCAAGGAATGCCACTTTTATATATCGCTGCGACAAGCTAAATGGTATTAGAACTTGCTGTATCAAGCCTTCGTTGAACATGACGTGTAATACGATAGACAGCTGATGACGAGACAATGTCCAACAGGGTCTACAACGGTCCGACCCCAAAGGACCACACCCTGAAGCCAAAAAAAAAAAGACATGACGCGTCTGTCTACATCAAGACAGACACATCGGACGATTATATAGTTATGTCCCAAGCAGGACGGGGCACGCTACCGTCGCGTCAGTCGCAACATCGACACGGCATCTCTATTTTTGCACCGTGACATCCTTTTGGATCCAGAGATTTCAAATGTAAGAAGGCGCGGCTCGACGCGGCGTACATAGGCAACACGCGACAAGATGCAACAAGACGCAACATCGCGACTGATGGATTGCAGTGAGATGCGACATCCTTAGGCAATAAGATTAGAATCGAGTGTATGTCGCAAGATAATGCAATGTTAGAACCACTTAATACGGTGCGCAAATAAAAGCCGAATGATTCTAGTCCGATTAAGCTGACAGCGTCATGGGTGGATGATGATCTTGCCTGGACCGAAGAATAAGAAAAGAATATCGACTTGATGATTGACGAATGAAGTATCCAAGAAGTTGTGACCGCTGCCGGATTCACCCGCTGCCGAAAAATACCGGACTGAGCCCTGCGGGAGAGAAACATGGCGCTGCATGAACAGGCCAGCAGGTCCATCATGTAGGGACTCGGAAGCCTCGAACATGATGGGAACGTATCAATGGCATTTTGGCCGAGGATACGGTTATTGACGCCGGTATACCTAGACGTTGAAAAAATAGCAGGGGTTACAGGAAAACAGACCGTTGCGGTAAACATTTGGATGCCTCACTTAATAGTGTGGGTTTCGACGAGGGAAAGGGTTGGGAGATGTAGTATGTAATGTACAGATGCAGAGTGATTGTCGAGTCAATTGCGAAATAAATAGGATGAAGAGACATACAATATTAATGAGGGAGTGGTTCCTTGAGGTGGTACGGGGGTCACTTGTACCAAGCATGGCACTACGTTCTGAAATTTAGAATGGTAGATTCAGCTGTTACAACTCCGATGAGAATTCCTTATGTCATCAGGTAGACAAGCACATGTAACATGGTCAGACCGCCGCCCGCGCATAACCGTTACACCAGTGAAGCACACTATCTATGATTCACTTGCGAATCGAACCAACACATTCCGCTCTTGACGCCCACGACGATGATCTTGCTATCATTGGCCGGCAATTCGCCTTATCATAGGAAATTAACGCGTACATTGCCCTGGTTTTCCTTTACTCTCCAATAGGTCTGCAGTTCCGAGGCCCGTAGAGGGAAACCTGACCGTAGCCTCATCTCAAGGCTGCAATCCCGTAATGGCAGCAAAAGCTCATACACACTTGTACCTAACTGGCAGGTTGAAACTGTTCCGACTGATCCACAGCCGTGATGTACTGGAAGTTGCACCATTGTTATAGGACCATTATTTCCTGACGTACCGAAGATTCAAGGGTGATGCCAAGGAAACCAATCACATTAACATCGCTGAGTGACCACTGACTGGTTGGACCAGTGAGTTTTTCTCTTGTCGTTTTCTCAGTTCCATCTGCGTCACAGGATGCATTGTCCATTTTACAATTCCAACAAAAATTGCGACCCTTGTCCTCTAAAAACTTAAACTAACGCGTCACCAACGGGAGTAACTATGCTATCTGGGGTTCATAGAACTCACGATAATGATCTTCGGTACATGCGATACTTCCACGAGACATGCCATGCTTACCGCGCGCGGACTGGCTCTCTTAATGAGGCAGGAACCATGTTGGGTGTGTGAGGAGAGTGTCAAGGGCCAATCTGGGAGGAATGTATACTAATGCCGTGCCCGCATGTAAAGGGGATGATGAGCAGAAACAATTTCATTGCCCAGACAAATATTGCCATAGGGTATGTACATGGCAGGGTCCACGAAGCTTTGAAGGCCGGGTCCACTATTAAGCAGAAAACGCAAAAATGGTAAACAAGCAACTCAACTCGTGGAGTTGATCAGCTCGCGAACCAGGCCTAGCCAGACTACTTCTATTTAGCTAAGAGTGAGAAGCAGTTTGAGAAGCTGGACTGTGAGTCGATACATTCTTACCAGGTTCAAGCGTTGATTTCTTGGCAAAGACTTTGACAGCCTTTTTATCGAGACACTGCCATGATATTTCTGTCCGTCCGGCGGTCTTGCCCAACGCATCAGCGCCGACATCGGAATTAAATTACGACTCTTCTGTTCTTACAGGATGGATGCCTTCTGTTGGCACTCAGATGGCTCCCGGGATGTACCTGGGGTGATGAAGTCATTCATGTCATGTTAGACATCGGTGGGGAACAGAAATGGAAGAGCGTCCTAAAGCAGAAGTGCCCCAAGGAACCACACCTTGTGGCTTGAGCAGCCACGTCCGTTGACGAATCGGTTTTGAATTTCTAGCAGTAAGTCCGCGACGAAAGCCGTATCAAATGTCCAAGTTAATGGTTTTCAAGTTCAGTCATTCTGTGGCATTCATCTCCTTGGCGCGGCTTCGCTCGTTAGCCATGATGGCATCGAACGCTTTTGCTAAGCCTTCCAAGCACTCCGTTCTGGTACGAGATCGCATCAAGCGAAGCAAGTGCCAGAAGTGAAGTGGCCGTTCATGGTACACCGCACGAGTATCGCATGGAAAGTCATTACTTGGCGAGATTCGCCATGACACTTCCTTATCGGAGACGTCCAGGGTGTGATATAGCGGATATCGAGAGTGCAAACACCCCCTCCAAGAATCTGGGAAGCTGATTTCGGCTCAGCAACAACCGATGCGCAAGTTGCAGCCTGTGTATTTAAACAGCTGTGATTTACCATTTGTCTCCCCATGCTTCTCTGCATACTACTATGGCCCAGACCGACGAAGGCCATGGCATTCCTGTCGTGCTCGCGAAGAAGCCCGATGTCGAACCTCCTTACTCTGTGTTTACGACTTGCGAAAAATGGCTCATAGTGACCCTTGCATCCATAGCAGGGTTATTTAGGTGAGCAAATGGTCGTTCCTCGACATCGAAACTGTTTGTGAATAGTTTTGTCAGCCCGTTGACGGCGTATATATACCTTCCTGCGATTCCAATGATCGCGACTGCGTTTGGCAAGACCGTTGAACTTACCAACCTTACGGTGACGGTTTATTTGGTGTTTCAGGGCGTATGTCAGTGAAGCCCGCTGCATGCAGTTTGTGTCCGGGCTCATCGTTACCGCTTAAGCGCCCATGTTCTGGGGCACTCTCGCAGATCGCATGGGCAGGCGACCAACGTTGCTTGGGTGTTTGTTTTTTCTCGGCCTTGCTTGTATCGGTCTAGCATTCGTACCGACATTACACTTCTGGCTGTTGATGATTCTTCGATGTTTCCAAGCGGTTGGTAGCGCTAGCACGCTCACGATCGGTACGCGTGCATGCTTTATTTTTTCGCCTTATCTCATTCCGAGATCGACCAGCCTGGCTACGCCACTTGACTCCTGGCTGACTACGTTTATCGTATATCGGCGAGCCAGTGTTTCGCTTATGTAATGCTTTGTAATATGAACCATATGCATTACGGACCCCTGACTACGCCGCAGAGACCCCCAATGTGCCACGAAACCCCTACTCCCATCACGGTAGTTTGATGTTTCCACCTCCTATGCACATAGCCTAACTCACCATCGCGCGCGATGTTTTTAGTACTCACAAGCTAAAACTTTGGTGCATATTGACGAGTCAGAAAATATCGCACAGTAAGTATTTGTAGCTTACAATTTTCGGTCACCCATCCAATGGTCACCTCCAAATTTGATAGGCTCGAATTCGGTCTTCGCCAACACTGAGACGTACGCCGACCCACCGATCGACCAACTGTGATCATGATGGTTCTTAAACGAGCGACATTACTACAAAGAACCTCTCAAACTAGGGCGTATGCTAATGTTGGACGCAGTCATCCTTCTGTGCCACACACTGCGCGCAGTGTGTGTTCATTAAAAGATCTGGCTGGCAAACAGCATGGCAGATGGTACACTTCGAAACATGTAAATTAGTATATTCTGAATGCACTTAAAGTCACCGTGCACAAAACGCGGCTTTCCGTTTCATCTATACTTCAATTTTAATCGCCCTGCATCTCCTCTGGTGGGGGACCTTGCTGTTCGCGCTCTTTTCGTGTGGCTTGTACGACGTCGTCGACACGTAATAGCATACGAGCAGCCTGTAGACATGGTAAGTAGGTAGCACACGTGAGATGAACAATAGATATACCTCAACTGCAGTTTTCAGGATTTGGATCTGAACGTGCCATAGATGGTCAGGGGACTCGTCGACTACAAATCCATGGAGCTTACCTTTACGCTTGCACTCTCGTACAAGCCGTATTCTTTCATATCGACTATCTTTCCAGTCTCTCCATTCACGCCCCACGAATGCTCTCCGTTTGCATGCTTAGCCTATCGGAGGTCATTAATCAAGTACAATTTCTCCACAGGAATGTTACCACCCACCCTGAGCTCTGTCAGTATCCTGATAGCATTTCCGCCACTATTTTGCACCAGAGTTCGTGGGATCACCTCCAAAGCATCTGCAACAGCTCTGAATGGCCATCCCTCAACCCCAGTAACGCTGCGTGCCTTAGCGTGCAACCCCACGCTGATCGCCATCTCGGTCGCACCTCCTCCCGGCGCGAGGAGAGGATTGAAGTATGCATTGCGCGCAACGCTGAGAGCATCTGCAAGATTACGATCGATTTCATTGAGTATGTCCTTGGAGGGGCCGCGGAGGAGAATGGTGCACGCTTTGGGGTTTTTGCACTCGGTAAGGAATGTGAAATATCTAAGTGGATCGCGTAAATGAAGGAGCCAGGCAGAACTGAAATAACGAACTCATCCCCCATCTTCTCGATATTGAATAGCCCACATTCCGTGCCAATATCGGAGTCGCGGAGGTCTTCCACACGGTTCACGATGGTTGCACCAACGGCTAGAGCAATCCGGTTGTTGTCTGATTTGCGGACGCGTCGAATAGCCGAAATGTTCGCTCGCTCAAAAACATATTGTGCCGTATCTGAAGGAGAAAAAAATCAGTAGCCCGGGTAAATTTCGACCTCAACACATACCCGATATGCCTTTCTCGGTAATGATAAGATCGGGTTTGAATTCGAGTAAACGTCTACACTGCGCAATGACCTGCTCCTCCTCGATCTCCTGTGCGCGTTGCCAGTCGCTCTCCTTGGAGAATTCCATGTTGGTCTGACTCTCACCCTTCTTGTACTCAAGGGGACAATCGAGTAGAATAATACGTGGGTTCTTGATTCGTCGGCGCATGTTTGGGTGGGTGATGTCTTTGTTGAGAAGGACACCATCGAGGACTCTCGACTCCTCAATGGACCCACCTGGAATTTTTTCAACACGTGCATAGCGCTTGATGTCAACGCTCTTGTGTCCAGAGTCATCCGAGGCAACGGTGCGCACAGCTTGAAGCGCTAGATGGCACATCAAATCGCTCCAGCGTGCCACGAATTTGGTGCCGATGGAAGTTTTAATGAGAGAAAGCATCTCTTCATCGGATGACGTGTCAATGGGGATGGAGATGCGATTTACGATCGCGAGAGCTTCTTTGAGAGCTTTGTTGTAGGCGGAGATGATAACAACAGGGTGGATGTCGCGTTCAAGCTGCGAGAGGGATTGGGCAAGAATTTCTCCCGCTATGGGATGATAAGAAAATAATATGGTTTCGAAACTTAGGAACACACCAAGGATGATAACGCTGGTTGTACCATCACCACATTCTTCGTCTTGGGTACGACTGAGTTCGATCATGTTCTTTGCTGCAGGGTGTGCGACGTCGATTTCACGGAGAATCGCGTTTCCGTCATTTGTCAGTCTATACAGTTATACGTCAATCAGATATATTTATGGCAGGAGACGTGTAGAGACGCACAGTATGCCGCCCATTGGATCGAGGATCATCTTGAGCATGGCTTTTGGACCAAGACACGTTCGAATAACATCAGCAATAGTCTGTTTAAGAAGCAAGTATAAATGAGACAAATATGAAATATAGGTTGACGGCGATACTTGCCTTTGCGGCAGTGATGTTGGAGATCTGGGCTTTCCTTCCTGACTGCCTCTCCGGTGCAGTGTCTGCAAAACATCGCGTTCAGTGATGTATTTGAAAAGCACAGGCGGTACATACTCATGACGAACACTGGAGTCTGTCCTGCCTGCATGGTTGAGTAATGATTGTGGATCGCGCTGGACAATGAGCGCTGAGCGATCAAGAGCAGGCCAAAATGCTGTCACCCTAACCAAATCCTGTGACACATTGTGTGACGTCTATGTCACCGTGGTTTACTTCGAGCAAACTGAGATCGCTAGATTCACCATCTGCATTGGCACAATTTGGCAGTAATATGACTACTGCTGAAATCTGTGAGTTCAGCAAGCTTGGTATATAGTCATTCTGATCTGGGCTAAGCAATTTTTCTCCCTCGCATCAATAGAACTGTCACGATTGGAAGTAGAATATTATAAATGCAGAAAAAATATCGCTTCTGCAAACTGAAGGGTCTAGAGAACAAGAAGTGTCAGTACTATGTGAGCGCTTCTCAGACAGAAAGGGACTGCTAAGATGGTTCATATCATAATTCCAATATTTCTACACTACAAACTGCAAAAGTCAAAAATATCATTACATCTCTCTAAGCCACTATGCGCTAAGCGCTTCATCAGTTTTGAGATGCCGTCTGACGCATACGTCTGCCAGCGCGGCAGGGAGGTCCAATACGCACTGCCAGCCAAATCAGAGGCACTGAGATGAAACATACTCCCCCTAAAAGAAAAAATGTCCACCCGGCGTCAATCTTGTGAAGTAGCAATTCGATCACAGAGACTAACAATGCCCCCATGGAGCACCGTATGAGGTTATTCTGCGGTTGTTGTCACAATCTTGTGTATCAGGGAAAGTAGACCCACTCACACACGCAGTCACAGAAGAGCCTTGTGACGGTACAAGGTCGATCAAAAGCGTTTGAATGGTAGTGAGTATAGCGATTTCTGAAAAACCGACTGTGTAACCAAGCAGTGAGCACTAGACTATGAGCAAGAATCGAAAAGAGGACTCACTGACGAATTGGAGGACCAGAGGTACTGCAATGGTCGTTCGTGCTTGAAAGCACCAGCCATACCCAGTGCAAGATGCGCAAAATATAATCATCCAAAGTGGCAATCTCTTCAGCCTCGTTGCTTCGATGGGAAAATCATCATCGCTTATGATATGACCTGGGATACCGTTCTCTGGCGTAAAATTACGAATAAGCTGTTCCTTCGCGGTCCTGTAATCCCAGTCCATGAGCTTGCCGCTGAAAACTGCGCCCAGTGCAAGCCCGCCTCCAGAGGCCAGATAGCAAATCCCAATATCTGTCTCTGTCAAGTGAGGGTAGTTTACTTCGAACAATGAAGATATGGTCGCTAGAATGGCGGTGAACACTGCGTATTGAATTCCATTGAAAACCAGGAGGTTCAAGACATCGACACATGCGAACAGACGGAAAGGGTTAGGAGATTTACGAGCGGGTGGACGCTCCACCTCGGAATCCTTATGTCCACGCCCCATTAAGGGTAGTAGAGGACGATACTGGATAGGCGGCAAAACACTACCATTTCCGACGATGCTACGCAAGGTCTCCGGGAGCAACCTGACACCCGGGTTACGTCACAGAGAATAACACCAAATATCGCGACTTACGTGACCAGGACAATGAAACACGCTGAACTGGAGATACAGAGGAACCAAAAAATGGATCTGAGTAATGGACCACATGAGTAAAACTTCGTCCTATTTGTGCGGACAACCGATTCACCTCCATCCGAGCTTATCCGCAAGAGCGCCTCCTATAACGGGTCCTAGTGCGGGTCCAACCTTCGAAACACAGTTACTACATAGTTAGGTTATGTGTTCTTGCGCTCACCTGTGGACCCATTGTGAAGACGCCGAAGAACCCACCTCGCTCCGCGGGGGTAGCGATGTCTGCAATAATACCAGCACCTGTAGCGGATGAGATAAGGCGAAAAAAAATCAAGCATGCACGCGTACCGATCGTGAGCGTGCTAGCGCTACCAACCGCTTGAAGACATCGAAGAACCATCAACAGCCAGAAGTATGATGTCGGTACGAACGCCAGACCGATACAAGCAAGGCTGAGAACAAACAAACATCCGAGCGACGTTGGTCGCCTGCCCATGCGATCTGCGAGAGTGCCCCAGAACATGGGCGCTTAAGCGATAACGATGAGCCCGGACACAAACTGCATGCAGCGGGCTTCACTGACATACGCCCTGAAACACCAAATAAACCGTCACCGTAAGGTTGGTAAGTTCAACGGTCTTGCCAAACGCAGTCGCGATCATTGGAATCGCAGGAAGGTATATATACGCCGTCAACGGGCTGACAAAACTATTCACAAACAGTTTCGATGTCGAGGAACGACCATTTGCTCACCTAAATAACCCTGCTATGGATGCAAGGGTCACTATGAGCCATTTTTCGCAAGTCGTAAACACAGAGTAAGGAGGTTCGACATCGGGCTTCTTCGCGAGCACGACAGGAATGTCATGGCCTTCGTCGGTCTGGACCATAGTAGTATGCAGAGAAGTATGGGGGAGACAAATGGTAAATCACAGCTGTTTAAATACACAGGCTGCAACTTGTGCATCGGTTATTGCTGAACCGAAATCAGCTTCCCAGATTCTTGGAGGGGGTGTTTGCACTCTCGATATCCGCTATATCACACCCTGGACGTCTCCGATAAGGAAGTATCATGGCGAATCTCGCCAAGTAATGACTTTCCATGCGATACTCGTGCGGTGTACCATGAACGGCCACTTCACTTCTGGCACTTGCTTCGCTTGATGCGATCTCGTACCAGAACGGAGTGCTTGGAAGGCTTAGCAAAAGCGTTCGATGCCATCATGGCTGACGAGCGAAGCCGCGCCAAGAAGATGAATGCCACAGTATGACTAAAACCGTTAACTCGGATATTTGATACAGCTTTCGTCACGGACTCACTGCTAGAAATTCAGAACCGATTTGTCAACGGACGTGGTTGCTCAAGCCACAAGGTGTGGTTCCCTGAGGCACTTCTGCTTTGGGACGCTCTTCCTTTTCTGTTCCCCCCCGATGTCTAACATGACATGAATGACTTGTCGTCACCCCAGGTCTATCCCGGGAGCCATCTGAGTGCCAACAGAAGGCATCAATCCTGTACGAACGGAAGAGTCAGAATTTAATTCCGATGTCGGCGCCGATGCGTTGGGAAAGACCGCCGGGGCCCGGATGGACAGAAATATCAGGGCAGTGTCTCGATAAAAAGGCCGTCAAAGTTTTTGCCAAGAAACAAACGCTTGAACCTGGTAAGAACGTATCGACTCACAGTCCTGCTTCTCAAACTGCTTCTCACTCTTAGCCAGATAGAAGTAGTCTGGCTAGGCCTGGTTCGCGAGCTGATCAACTTCACGAGAAATTTGAGTTGCTTGTTTACCATTTTTGTGTTTTCTGCTTAGTAGTGGAGTTTGTCATCCTGCCGTCGAATGACTTAGTCGTCTTGTTCAACCCTCGGAGAGGATTCTCCCTTCGCCACAGGTTCAGCGATACGGATCGATTCGCCACGAAGACTCTCGGCGCCAAGCACAACAATGCAAGACGTTATTGATTGTATTCATTTGCGAGACGAATGACTGTCAGGACTCTAGAACCAAGCAAGCCAGTAAAATACCGTCAGTCAGGCTCACGACACTTATCCGAGAAAATACTTGCTACGACGGTGCAATATGACATCGAGGCTTTAACGCACTAGGCTTGTAGAAGTATATTGCGAGGGGCCGAGGTTCAATCGAGCCTCAAGATTTGCGAAGAATATTTCTCATTCTCTCACTGAGGACATAATACGTCAATGCAGATCGTTCCTTCAGTTGGTCTAACTTCGACCGGACGCTACCATTATCCATCGATCATCGGGTCCCCTCCAGTGACTTTTGAGGTATTTGCTCTATGAAACATGCATCGACTTCCGGAAGCAGATAAGCCAAGATTCAAGTCCTTGAAGATGGGAACGCCGCTAAGAATAGGCGGCAGGGACATGGTGCACTGATGCTTGGACGAGTAAGCGAACAATCGAACAATATTTGAAGTCGAACTTACAGTTATATTGTCGCGAGTGGCCATAAAAACGTATTCGTCAGACGCGATGACCAAGATAGAGGAAAAGTGGTAGATCCAATATGCGTGCTTGAGACATATTTCTTCGAGTGAGACTTTATTTCGAGGTTTTGGGAAATATATGACCCACATAAGAACAAGGACCGTCACCCGACATATCGCACACTGAAACAAAGTATCAATATTTTGGGGTGAGAAGGCAGAAACTGTAGCCAAGCATAGTACTTTGTGATGGACTATATCACGTCGTGCTGAGACCCAGATTCCTCATCTCATGACAATCGCGGTTGGATGGTGATCACCTGAAATCAAAGTGCCTGGCATCACGGGTCGTACGGGTATCATGGGATGATGGAGGACTTAGCAGTCCATCTTGACCTTCGAAAGAACGTTTGCGATTTGCAAAATGATTTAGTCCAGAACTTTGACCACATTGTCAATGACAATGGAGCGACATCGTACCGTGGACTCAGAAGGGCTAGTACAAGTGTCTGACCTCGTTGACAAAGTTCAGTCGGACTCGTTGATGTTGTGACAGTTGCGTCACATGAGCAACACGGTCACGGCTAAGTTGTTTCTTCTGCAAATTCTGTTTTTTTTTGTTATTTGAATTCTTCACCTCTAGACCCATTATACGTACTCTCGAGCACCGACCTTCATGGACCCTGGCATGTACATACCCTATGGCAATATTTGTCTGGCCAATGAAATTGTTTTTTTTTTGATTCCAATTTCTGTCCTATTGAGAGTTATACTCTATGGAGGACAATACTATCTAGTCTAGGGGACCCCCAGTGTCCCCGACGCATCTCTAGGTTCGCGAATGCCCCGATGTGAAGCGTACTCCCATCGGTCCGCCGTTCCCGCCGGCCGTTTTAGACGCGCAACCTGTCGAAGATGAGGTGACTGTTTATCTAATGGTACGAGGTATGTGTCTGTCAAGCGAATAAACAAGAACGCGTACTCGGCCGCTTGCGCGGGCTGGTACAAATGAAATTGTTTCTGCTCATTATCCCCTTTACATGCGGGCACGGCATTAATATACATTCCTCCCAGATTGGTATGTATCTTAATCCTAGTATTTCTTTCGCAATTGACTCGACGATCACTCTGCACCTGTACACTACATACATCTCCCAACCCTTTCCCTCTTCGAAGCCTGCAGTATAATGTAAGGCATCCAGATGTTTACCGCAACGGTCTGCTCCTGTAACCCCTGCCATTTTTCATCTAGGTATACCAGCGCCAACTGTTCTCAGCCAAAATGCCATCGATCCGTTCCCATCACATTCGAGGCTTCCCTACATGATGGACCTGCTGGCCTGTTCATGCAGTGCCATATGTAGTGGATGTTTCTCTCCCGCAGGGTTCGGTCCGGTATTTTTCAGCAGTAGTGGGTGAATCCGGCAGCGGTCACAACTTCTTGGATACTTCATTCGTCAATCATCCAGGATCCTCGCTTTTCAAGTTGATATTCTTTTCTTATTCTTCGGTCCAGGCAAGATCATCTTCCTCCAATGGTGCTGCCAGCTCAATTAGATGAGTGCTATAGAATCATTCGGCTTTTATTTACGCACCGTCCTCAGTGGTTCTAACATTGCATTATTTTGCGAAATACAATCGATTCTAATCTTATTGCCTAAAGATGTCTGGATCCAAAAGGATGTCACGGTGCGAAAATAGAGATGTTGCGTCGATGTTGCGACTGACGCGACGGTAGCACGGGGCCCCGTCCTGCTTGGGACATAACTTTATATATATAAATCGTCTGACGTATCTGTCTTGATGTGAGCAAAGCACGTTGCACTGACACGTCATTTTTTTTCGCTTCAGAGTGTGGTTCTTTGGGGTCGTAGACCTTCGCAGATCCTATGTTGGACTTTGTCTCGTCATCCTATCGTATTACACGTCATATCTTGATGCGAGCAAAGCACGTTCCGCTGACACGTCATGTTCAGACAATGAGTTCTAATACTATTTAGCTTATCACAGCGATATATAAAAGCGGCATTCCTTGAATCGATAATACACTCAGCACCCCTCACTTCAACAATCACTTCACACTTCGGAGTCATGAAAGTTTTGGCTCTTTGTCTTGTCACCGTCGCTCTCCTGCCGCAGATGGCAGTGGCCATGAATTGTGACTTTCTTCTCGGGCCCTGGTGTTGGGCCGATCTTCTTGGCAAGAAACCGACCGAGCCGGTCCAGCCGGAGACAAGTATGTCCTAACTTGTCTGTGTTATGTCCATCCTGTCTAATAAGGAACCTGTCGCTAGGCCCCTGAAAGTAATTATCTAGTACCTTTTTTTTGAGTGCTCTACTCACTCGTTCTGTTAAATACGCAGCTCTTCACGACACCAAAGGTATGTCTTGAGTACAGTATTGAGTCTCGACTATTTACAAAATCATTCTAGCCTAGGGTTAGAAGCGCAAACATGTCTCTGAGTCCAGCCTGCTATCTGAGTCGTCGCTCTGCTGAAGTCTGGGACTTGTGGGATAAAGATTGTCGTGGTCCAGTTTTTTTTCTAATGCTTAATTATTGTCGGCTGGGGCAGCTCTGAGCCCTATACGGACATTATACCATGATCCAATAGCTATCAAAGTCTGAAGATGTTCTTTTTATTCGTGTATGATGTAGTACGTACTACTTGAAGTTGTTACGCACTTAACGGTTTGGAAAATCTTGATATTTGTTTTGCAAAGCGCAGTTTAAGGAGAAAATGGATCGAATTTTTCAAGTGCAGCGCGCGTTCTTACTGGACTTGAATTGGAACCTTCGGCGACTTCTGACAATGGAACATTATGTAATATGCAGTTGCTTAAGTCACCGAAACGGTCCTGCCATTTTTCTCAGCCAACTCCCAGCGCCAATAACCATGTCCTCGGCCAAAATGCCATCGACACGTTCCCATCACCTCCGAGGCCTCCCTACATGATGGACCTGCTGGCCTGTTCATGCAGTGCCATATGTTTCTCTCTCGCAGGGCTCAGTCCGGTATTTTTCGGCAGTGGGTGAATCCGGCAGCGGTCACAACTTCTTGGATGCTTCATTCGTCAGTCATCCTTCGCCAAACGAGCACGCAGTTGGTTGCATCCTCGCTTTTCAAGTTTATATTCTTTTCTTATTCTCCCGTCCAGATAAGATCATCTTCCTCACATGGATGATGGCGCTGTCAACTCAATTAGACGAACCCTATAGAATCATTCGTCTTTTCTTTGCGCACCGTCTTCAGTGGTTCTAACATTGCATTATCTTGCGAAATACACTCGATTCTCATCTTATTGCCTACGGATGTCGCATCTCACCACATTCCATCAGTCGCAATGTTGTCTCTTGTCGCGTGTTGCCTATGGATGCCGCGTCGAGCCGTGACTGAAATTTCTGGATCGAAAGGATGTCACGGTGTACAAATAGAGATGTCGCGTCGATGTTGCAACTAACGTGACGGTAGTGTGGGGCCCCGTCCTGCTTGGGACATAACTTTATATATATATATAATCGTCTGACGTGTTTGTCTTGATGTGAGCAAAGCACGTTGCACTGACACGTCATGTCTTCTTTTTATACTTCAGAGTGTGGTCCTTTGGGGTCGTAGACCCTATGTTGAGCATTGTCTCGTCATCTGCTGTCTATCGTATTACACATCATGTCTTGATGTGAGCAAAGCACGTTGGGCTGACACGACATGTTCAACGAAGGCTTCAGATAGTGAGTTCTAATACTATTTAGCTTATCACAGTGATATATAAAAGCAGCATGTCTTGTCACCATCGCTCTCCTGCCGCAGATGGCAGTGGCCAAAAAATGTGATGGGCTTCTCGGGGCCTGGTGTTGGGCTGATATTCTTGACAAGAAACCGACCGAGCCGGTTCAGCCGGAGACAACTTGAAGTATGTCCTAATTTGTCTGTATTATGTCCTGTCTAATAAGGAATCCGTCGCTAGGCCCCTGAAAGTGATTATGTAGTGTTACCCTTTTTTCGAGTGCTCTACTTACTCGTTCTGTTAAATACGCAGCTCTTCACGACACAGAAGGTATAGGGATCTGCATGGGTATGGGTAACCCGTGCTTTGAACTCCGAATTAAGCTCCGCACGAGTCAGCCGCAGCCCTGGACTTTGGCCAGTCCTCACCGGTTCTCAACGTCAAATATACAAACTAAACTGTATCGTTTCGGGCGATGATTATCTCCATGTATTCGAGATTAAGATTGAACCGACAGAGAGTGTCAGCGCTCTTCCAAAGGTTATCAAAGACGCGAAGAAGCCACATTTTGACCATGTTGCCGCTGACGATCTCATACTATGGCAGGTGAGTGATCCGATACCTGCGATTGGATGTTGATAATCTGATATTTTGGAAGGTCGACCTGCCTGTCGACGAGAACATCGAGCTCAATCTTAGCCGTCTTACGCTTGATACAAAGACACCCCTATCACCTGTGAAAAGACCACGTGCCGACTCTGACAATCCCGAGGTACTGCAGGTGAGTGATCTGATGCCTACAATTGGATGTTGATGATCTGATATTTTGGACACTACAAAGAAACCCCTATCACCCGTGGTTCCAATCACCAGGATTTTTCCTAGTGCTCCTCCCCTTGAGCATGTACATATTGTTATCCAAATCCGACCTGCTGGTGAGTTGTCTTTCGATATTGCCGCCCTTTCCTCCTTACTGATCGTGGTCTGACTTAGTATCTTCTGGACTGCACGGTTCGCACCACCTAGTACTCAACTGCATTGCCTTTGGCGATGATGCTTTCTCTGCATTTGAGATCAAGATTGCACCGACAGAGAGTGTCAGCACCCTGCAAAGGGTTATCAAGGACGTGAAAAGGCCACAATTCGACCATGTTGCCGCCGACCATCTTAAATTATGGCAGGTGAGTGATCTGATGCCTACGATTGGATGTTGATAATCTGATCATTTGGAAGGTCAAGATCGATTTGAACGACCTAGAATCACTCAACGCGATCGAAGACAAAGGCGTGGCGTTGAATCCGTTAACCAAACTGTCTGAAGCATTCACGGATGGAGTAGAGCGCGGATGTATTCATGTCGTCGTACAACCCGTTGTACAAGGTGAAGTCCCAACCAATTATAGTATGGCGAAGATCAACAAAGGTGAGGTTACACCGCCTGGTTATTTGACTTGCCGCTCAAAATGTATTCCACATGAAGAGTTCGAGACCGCTCTTGAATCAACCTATCCTTCCCCGTCAGCAGCTGCTAAAACGAAAGAATATCGCAACATACAGCGCGGGCCCACCAAATTATACGACGGTCGCTATGCTCATAACAACCCAGTCAATACGACTGCACCACCGATACAGTTGTTCAACCCGGCATTCGCCTACTTCTCAAGCAAAGCGTTCGATCCTGAATACACCGTACCAGATGAGATGCTGCGTAATACCCAGGAGCTTATGACTAAATTTGCAGCAATTCATGCCAACGAGAGTGACCGCCGCCTAGATCTCGTTCCTCTGCTGGCAAAGGTGATCAAGGAGCCTTTATTGCACGCGAAAAGTCGTTCTGGCAACTTTGAGCCCAATGCTGTAGTCGTCCATTCTCATGACGATATTCCGGTACACCTTGTGGTAGTTGAGGAGAAGAACGAGGTTGGAGATGGAGCTTCAGACCCTTCTGTCCAGGCGTCATTCTCCTTTGTACATCAAACTCGTGAGGTGCAATGTTTCGGCACTCTAATGTGTGTTACTCTTCTCACTGATGCTCGTCACCAGGACGCGGAACTTCGCTTAAAGTGCAATTGTCCTACCTTCTTGGTTGCTCATGCTGGACCTTGGCTAGCAGTTCTGGGCGCCGTCTTCACGGAGAAGTATATAATCCAACGGCTTACGGACTTCATCTGGATCCCAGCCCACTCTGCACTCGATGACGACCAGTTTCTTCGAATTGGGCGCGTCATGTATGCACTTAGTGAATCAGTCGCACAGCTCAGAGTCTGGTATGACGATGTCTTTGAATGTGACGAGCCGCCGTACGACGCATCATATCCTACTGCACACCCTCGCTTTTACCCAACCCCAGATACCTATCTACGCGACGAGATTCCCGTACGATTCAAATATGAGCGGCCCCTGGAACACGATGCTTCGTGTGTGACTTACCTGGCGAAGACGAAGGAGGACAACCCGATCAATGTCGTTGTAAAGTTCGTCACCAGGTACGGCGAGGACGTTCACAGGGCGATGGCAGAAGCCGGGTTCGCGCCGAAGCTTTTGTATTACGGAAAAATCGATGTCGTGGAGGGGGTGCCATCGTATGGCGGGCTGCGGATGGTAGTAATGGAATACGTGGACGGAAAGACGGCCTATGGTTCACTGAAACTGCCTCCCAACTTTCGCCAAGAGCTCACGGAGGCGATCGAGTACTGTCACAAGAAGGGTTTTGTGTTTTGTGATCTTCGGAAGCCAAACATCATGATCACGAAGGACCACAAAGTGCAACTGATCGATTTCGACTGGGCTGGACGCCAAGGCAAGGTCACATACCCTGTATCCATCTCTCCCACTATTCACTGGCCGGAGGGGGCGCAAGGATTAGGGCCTATACTAAAACAACACGATCTTGATATGCTAGCGCGCTGCTGTAATTAGACTTTCAATTCTTCTGCTTTATGATGCGTTGCCACCAGCTTCAAGTTGTGCAGTCCTATACCTTGTAGTTACACACCAGACAATGTTGTAATATTTTGAACAACTTTCTCGGCAACTTTGTGAATGTGTAATGAGTTATCGATCACACCAAATCCAACGACTCACTCAGTGCACCAGCCGTTATGACCATGGCTAATTAATATGATGAACATTACCATGGTCCAATAACTATCAAAGTCTGATGATGTTCTTTTTATTCATGTAAGCTGTAGTACTAAGACAAATTCAAGTAAGAAAATGGATCTAATTTTTCATGTGCAGCTGTGCAGCGGTTCTTGGACTTTTTCACACTTTCGGCGACTGACCTCATTTAAGGGAACATTATTATGTAAGTCATATGCAATTTTCCTGTCAACTCAATCGAGTCCTATAGAATCATTTGGCTTTTCTTTGCGCACCGTCTTCAGTGGTTTTAACATTGCATTATCTTGCGAAATACACTCGATTCTACATTTTGTCGTAGCGTGCTAACGATACAAGTCCAATCACTCTGAGACTCGCATATCCCTCTCAGCCCTGGCTGGCCACTTTCGCTCAAGACTGATCATGACATCGTCTACTTTAGCACAGATTCTTCCACTAATCGTGGTCGGTGACCTCGATTTCCAGCGCTTAGTCCAATCATACCAGCATCTACATCCTGCCGAACACCCCTCGACAGCTTGAATACGGAGATATACGTGTAGAATGTCCTGAACCCTCAACCTTCCAATATGCGAGTCCCTTCCTGGCGCATTCCCGCTGGTATCTACATATATATCAACGTCGACTCCTAGAGACACTGGAAATCAGCCATCATGGCCGTTTCTGTGCCCGAGGGACACACTCACCGTGATAATCACTATTTTCCAAGAATCATTGGTAGCTCCGTCTTCATTACACGCAGACAGGCATTTCAGCTACAGACGACTGGGGGTGGCCTATTTATATCGTTACCGGATTCTACACGACTCTGCTGATTGATCGCTCATTATAGGGAATTTCAGACTTGCATCGCGACACCCCACTCAAGGGCTCCCAGAACGCGTTCAGGCATATAATTGGACCGTTGCGGCGGAGCAGCATAGTCATACATCTGCACTGGATGCCTACAACACATATTTCGACCTTCTTGACGGTCATTTGGCAATACGGTAAGCTGCTGCTGCCTTCAATAGTGTCAGATCGCTGCCTGTAGACGCAGCATCATGTGCCATCTGTCATGGCAACCTACGACAGGTAATCGAACTCGCAGAGCAGGGTCGTGGCCAGCAGTGGTCACTGCCATCTCGACTCAGGACTCCAGTTGAAGACCTCCAGTCAGCAAATCCGACGCTGGCGCACAATTATTTGGAGCTGAGCAAACGCATTCTCAATGCTGTACAGAGATCACCGACACTGCTGCTGCTGCTGGGGTGGCAACAGAGTATAAGCGCCATAATTGTCCTGACGTCAGGAGGCATTCCCTTGCCGTCTATCGTTCTCGTAGATCTAACGAATCTCAATGATCGCTTCGCCAAGGCAATACCACACACATCTATCCTGGGTCGCAGAACGATCTAATAGTCCTCTTGACAGTATGGGACAAGATCATGCTACTCATCGTCAACGTCCTCCAACATGATTTGACCATTCTCGAATCTGGCCATGTGCAACTGCAGCTTGCCATTCACGTCCATTCCTCTCCACGCAGCTCACACGTGGCGAACAAACGCAAATCGGTGTGAGGAGCTATGCCTGGGGGATCTCTACATCTGTTCTTATACAGCGACACTTTTGGCTCTGATCAGATCTAGACAGTTGATGAAGAAATATGTGCCTCCGTCCTTGGTGACGATCGGACAAGGAGGTGGTACCAGGGTTGTAAAATATGCGATCAAGGTAAGTGGATGACAGACATTGAATAAGCTACTCACCATGACTCAAGAGGACATATAAGCCTCCGGGCTCCACGCCATTGCTGTCATCCCAGCTACTTAAATGGGCCAACTTGAAATACCCCGCATAAACGTTTCGTCTAATTGCTGTTAGCGGTATGTTCGTTGTTCCTAATACGATTCTGCCACGTATGCTTACCTTTAGGCAGAACTATGTAGATGGTTGATATAATCAAGTTCTAAACTTGAACTTGTATCCCCAAGTTCAAAGACAATCGTACCGTCTCAGTGAGTATTCTTGAGACTCAAAGACTCGGGCAACTTGGACATCATATTTATTACATTTAGTTCTTCCTGGACGTGCCACTATCAGCACCTTTGCGTACATTACACAATTAAACTATACGGTAGGAAAGTTCCCGGCATTGATGGTCATCACTGACATACCACACGCCACCAGACACCATGAAGATCCAGTTCACATACTACCTCACTATTCTTGCTGCCGCCGCCGGGGTGAATGCAGCTCTTGCTAGTACATGCATATATGACTGCCAAGATCCTGATGCTGCCGCCAACTGCGGGGCAGGCTGGGGACTGGTTTGGAACAGTAAGCTCAACTGCAACATCTGCTGCACTACTAGTTAGACTCGGAGTGGCCATCGCGTTCATACGAATGATGTATTTGATCTTTATCTAGTTACCTATCAAAGCACTCAACAGCATTTGCGTCCTCTGAGGGCATGTGCACGCTCTAAATGTTCACCTACCTTCGTGATTGTGTTTGGGTGATTATTCATCACGCTGGTCCCTTTGATACATCACTCATAAGGAAGATATGCAAAATTGGTCAGTTTCTAAACAGCAAGCTTGGAACCAGGCCCCGAAGGTTGGGTATCGGCGTTACTTATCTTCGGTGAGAATCATCTTCCGTCAAATCAAAGGATGCGGGCGATAAGAATCGCGGCCTGTGCAAGTGCTTGTAAGGTACGCCAGTATTTCCATGAGGATGCACATCAAGGTAATTGGACCGATGACGAGTTCATGATCCGAACACTAACAGAATTCGAACGTTATAAAATTTCCTGGACCCCGCATACGATTTAAAGTTTGAAAAGCGGATGAAGGTTGTTTCTGATTATCCTTGGCCACAGTCAACTGCAGTTGGTTTATTTGAATGTTTACTCGATTTTGAACTTGGGGCCGTTACTGTTGAGTTTAAAACTGAGAATCATATAACGGTGGAATCGAAAGAGCGAAGAGAAGTCGGTATTAGACTGCAGGCGGGAGCCGGGAGAGGAGAAGGGACGACGTGAAAATTTTGGCTGCAATGGGCAAGGGTGTTACCAGATGATGGCGGCCCATGTCAAAGAGTACCCGGATATTATCGATCGCAACATTAATATTATCCTGTAACGCCCAAGGATGAGCGTAAAAAGGGCCAACAAAAAACACACAAAGACAATGTCTAAAGTAGCTCTGGAGACTGGCATTTTATCACTCAGCTCTTTAATGTCGTGCTTCAGCCTAGCATTCGGACTTCAGTGCGCAAACTTTTTGACGTCGTGTTTTAGCCCAGCATTTCCTGCTTCAGCTCAGCAATGTCATGACCAATTTTTTCCTCCGTTGCCTCGAATCTACGAAGAAGGACGTCATTTCCAGCTGAGAATCCATTAGTCTGACAGTGATGAATTTATGTAAAGCCCACAAAAACACCTGGTGTTATTGTCCTTTGTAGCTGATCAAGCAGGATTAGAATATGTATCTACGAATACGTGGGTAATAGTGACGTACCTGGGTAAACTTGAAAATCGGTGCAGTCGGGGTTTGGAGAGACGGGCGCTACACCGAGAACTTGCGTATTCAACTTTCAAGTGATCCCTGATTTCGACCATCCCCTCCTCCTTGGCAATGGCTCTAGCAACAGTCAAATAACTTGGTGGGTCTATAGATTTTTGTAACTTTGTCTCCGCATAGAGTACCACGTTGGACTTGAAGCTTGAAGCTTGAAGTTTCAAAGTAAGATCGGAAGGATGGTCGGAATTTGCCGGGCGTTATTAACCGTCGTGCTCTCTCTTTCGATGATCAATGTCACGGTGGTATGGCCCTTTTTTAGGCTCTTTACACGCTGATTTGCTTGAATTTTCATCCAAGACAACATCATCCTGTCCGGCGCCTCGTTTGATCAATGGTCGACGCGGTGGAATTCAAATGGTACATATCTTCCTTTTGTTGGGCCACACGGACCATGGGCTACTAAGTAGTGTTTTGGGCATTGTGCTCTAGTCCTTGCGAGACAGCGATACGTGTATCGATCCAACAGGGTCCACTTCATTTGGGCAGTGTGAATCACCCTCTTTTCCTGTCTGTTTTTGTGCTGATTCAGTATTTTATACTTCACAGATGGAATCAATAGGACTGTGAAGGCCGTCCGACCCAAGACTTATTGATGAGGTAGAAGCATATACTTCAGGAATACCCAGAGGTGAAGTTCTGTATTACATCTTCCAAACCTCCGCTGGTGTTTCCACCTTTTTGTCCGTATTGTTTCTATCATGAAATATACTGATTCTACACCATGTTTGCCTTATTCTATGCTAAGTGAGTAGTGCGACTCGGTGGTAAAAGTCCGGGAGTAGGATGTGCATGTCCATTTCAACCTAGGCGTGCTACTTTGCTGACGATTGACTTTGACATTGCCCATTTCTTTAGCATGCACATGCTCTCCCGCTAACAATGTAGCCGGTAATCTATCTCAGCGCGCTGTATAATCATACAAGTGTCTATCATGCCAAACATACAACATGGAAATATACGAGTGACAAGACCTGGACCATTAACCTCTTCTCCTACCCCCGTCTTTTCCTACTCCACACACCACTAAGCACATCCTCCTCGTTTTCCTGCACTACACCAGTATGTTTGGTGACTTGAATGTGAGTTAGTGTATATTGCCTTCGTACCAGTTTCACGATTCTCACGCTCGACCATCTGCAGTCATCAGCCCAAAAAATAGCAATGTCCCAGCTGACGTATACCACTACAGACAGGTCGGTTGCCAGTCTAGCCGATATGCATAATTATGGCTAAAAGACAACAGACTTCGATACAGTGAAAGCGCAAAAATGAAAAATGAAACTCACGCCATTGTAATTCTCACCAGATAACTCATCTGTCATTAGCATACGAGGCCCGCCAAATATGATTTGGATGTACAAACAAGCGCATCGACACCACATTCAGTATTTTGCCATTTCGCATGCGACTCCCTGGGCCATGGAACAATCGAATACTTCCACATCCCATGTTCATTGTCCATTGGTAATTTCTGAAGTTCCACAATACATTGTCCACTGTTCCTTGACTTACACTCGGGCCATTCTTGCTTTACCCATTATTGCATGGGCCCTCCGCTACAGTTCTACATTCCATAGTTCCACATCTATATAACCTTCATGGATTCTCTGATACCGACATCAGACCTTTCCCATCTCTGTAAATCAAACCTTCCCCGCTTATCTCAATCAGACATGTTCTTCCCTCCCCCCATCACAGTTGACCTTCCACAGTTGCCTTTGGAAAACATGGAGGAACTCGCGGCCAGCCGTCTGTCCTGGTTTGCGGGATATGACATTGAGAAACACGTAAGCCTGTTACACATTTTTACTGATCTTCAAACCAACCTTGGTGTCCAGGAATGGATTACATTCCAGGGCTTGCATTGCGATGAATCTGCTTACGATAAAGATGCATGGAGAAAGCTGGTCAAGGACCAACCGACTAAGGTACTGGCAGGAGTGACTCTGGGATCGTTGTCTCGCAACCTAACGCGTTTGTTGCAGGATCTCATAGGATCCATATTGGATACCATTGTATCTTCTCATGACAGCCCACAGCCAGAGAAAGTTCGGCAAGGCATGGTGTGTTTTGAAGCGACACTTATGCATGACTCTCGTTTACCTTTACCATTTGTAGAATATCCTGCTGAAAGGGGCCCTAGGAACGGGCAAAAAGACAGTTGCGCATGCTATCTGCAACATGCTCAAACGCCCAATGCTTGGCATTCGGGCGAATGACATCCCACTGACATGCGACAATGTGCAACCTTGGGCCGCCAAACTAGCATCGGTATGTACCATCCACAAGCCGTGACACAAATCTGACTCAATGTGATGGTTGCTTAGCTTGCAATAGAATGGAATGCGATAGTGATCGTAGACTGCGGGGATGTACGTATCGTCTCTCAAATTGTCCATTACGTCCCTTCTGAAGAAACGTCGCACAGTATTTCATGAATTCTGAATGTGCAGGGGGTGAAGTATGTTCTCGATTGTTGTACTGTTAACGCCGTACTAGTATAGCTAATCCTTCGTTAGGAACGCATCAATTTGATGGTTCAAGAATTTGAATCGCCCGGATGTATCTGTCTGTGGCCTGCGGTGTTGACGGACGAGCAGCAGGCACTACTTAGGCCGTTCTCGGCCAGTGCGTACCCCAGCTATCTGACCTGACTGCATCACTAACCCTTTTCTGTTGCAGCCATCAGATTTCCCGATCTCGATCTGGCAGCCCGTCGCCGACGTTGGCTACAACTCTTTGGCCGAGATGACCTGGCGGAAGCTATCTCTAGCGGCAAGCACGCGTCCGTCCCTAGCGTGAGGGACACGGAAGCGTTGACCTTCCTTCGGGAGATTGAGAAAATCTCTTGGTACGAACTCGATGGTAATGTCATGTCTGACACTGGATGAACTGTGCTGACGGTCCTTATAGGAGCTGATATTGAAAATTTCATGGATTTGGCACGAAGCTTGTCTGGGTAAGTTCTTTTATATCATACAGCTTTTCCTGACGACTAATTAGTGCCACACAGAGGACGAGATCCAACCCCCCATGACGTAAAGGAGTATGTCAAGGTCTGGGGTGTGCCCCTTTCTGTACGGAGCAAGGTGGCGCGGTTTTTCGCACTCCGTGACATGCATCCGCCCCACTTGGCGCGTGAGCACTGAGGAACTAAGTTCTGGTGAAGATCAAGTTGTACTTGTTTGAAATATCTGCTTGCTGGCTTGTACTCTGTAGTTTATGGCTCATGAGATGTGAGATTCCTATTGTAACTATATATTTATCATTGTGCATATGAAATACCTATGTCGGAGGATGTTATCGATCGTTAGCTTATTGCATGGAGCAGGATCTGGGAGGGGACCGTATATCATTTTCGTACGACCCTCGGAAGATGTGACCAATCTGCTCAACCACTGGCTGACGTCACCCAGATCTCATGCAATGTGGAGTCAAGGTGCTTGCGCGGAATTATCTTTATCTATTTACCTACCAAGGCACTCGACTACAAACAAATACTGAAAATAATGCCGGACGTTGACGGTGGAGGCGTCATATTGGAAAACTAAAGTACAATGATCAATGAATTAGACGCTAGACGCTCAACCAAACATCTCTTGGTCTTAGACGTAGACTCCTCCCTCTCTGTATAATTTAACTATACCCTATCTCCCCAATAACCTTCCCATAGCTGAATACCACTTCACCCCTGACGACTGTACCTAATTTCGTTTCTGTAATTTTATGAGAAAGATGTCACAGCTCGACTGACAACCCACCTATACCTACTGTCCGCTACCACCTAGCGCCTTACTCCCCCGGATAATCAAACAAATTGCAAACACGATAGTGAGCAGCGACCGCGGTCTGAATCTCATTTCGCAAGGCGCTGCGGACAATATTTTTCCCACAAATGTAGCAAAAGTGGGTGTTGCAGGCCGGGGAGATGCACTACGACAGCATATACGTTAGAATGGTATGTTTGTCAACAAGGAGATCACGCACGGTCATGTGGCTGCATCCCCCGTCCCTCTGGACTGGTGTTTTGCAGTCTGCCAATGAAGATAAATAGCAGCAAATAACCAATAAGAAGAGTATATACTGGGGCAATACTTCCACCCGCGCTGCTTCATTAAATGGTCCAGTTCCGAGGTGCCATCACAAGAATGGGGAGGATCGCCAATTGCAACAGATTGCTGGCACGCTTTGCACCAGATATGGTTACAATCGGGTAGGGGACAAACAAGCAGGCGAGATTCGTCATGCTCCTGTCTGACTACGGGCACCGATCGCTGACATCTAAAATGACATGGTTGGCGGGCTGGAGGTAACACAGGCGAGACACTCACTTGCGGCAGTGGAGGAGAACTGAAAGCTGGCTTAGTTCCATTTCTTCCCAAATCGCATATTGCCGCTCGTCGATACCAATTTGCTGCACGAGAAGTCCCGAGATCGCTAAGGAGGGTGAGTTAATAATGGGTGCTACAGAGGATGTACAAACCTTTAGGTTTATAGTTATTCTTTTCCGTCATGCAAACGGGACACATGACTGGAAAACGATGTTCTTCGATCTTGGAGCAAATATGTCCTCGGATACAAGTTCTGCATATCGAATGATTGCATTCAAGATCCACACTATTGTCCACAGGTTGTTCTTCCATGCATATTACGCATGAAAAGTTATGTGGGAGTGAGGCAGCCAGAGCTTGCATCTGGTCTCGAAGTTGCAAATCTTCAGCATCGAAAGATTGCTGCAACTCGAGGGCCGCAGCTGAACTCAGACTGTCGAGCCCCCACTCATGTCCTAAGTCTTCCTTGACGGTATCATAAATCGATGACCATGTGTCTGCATCGCGACGAACGTTGTTCATAAATTTATCGGATGACGAGGACGAGTGCAAGAAGTTGCGCGGAGCCAGCCGTGACGATCCAGCTATTCCGTTCGAGGGCTGTGAAGTGAAGCGCTGTTCCCTGCTGCTCTGCACGATCTTGGAAGATACCTGAAGTGATACTACTTTCTTCCTCTCGATACTCAAAGCATCGTCCAGGCGTTGAATCTCTCCTTCGAGTGTTTCGTTTTCTTTAGCCAGCCTCTCATTTTTCTGTGTCAATCCAGCCACTTCGGCTCGCAATCTCAAAACAGCCAGGCTGGATTCGATGACAGTACGCTGCATGCCTCGCATGTCTGCAGGTGGTCCATTTGATACGAAGATATGGCCTGACAAGTTATTAAGTAGCTGAGCTTGCCATTGCAGACCACTCAGGGAAAGAAGATGGCTGTCGGCAGCAGGTAATATGCTGGCCAGACGTGAGACCGCTTGGTCAATCGATGTATTGAGAATAAGACCAGCACCAGCTGGATAGCTTGGCCGTGGGTGAGAATCGAAAATCACGAAGACGTCCGCCTCCGGTCCTTTAATTACCGTGCATGCGATGATCTCAGGAGGGCGCGTGATGATGACAGTAGCAGAGGAGCTCAAGGTTTGCATATATCTGAGAAGATCATGGAGATGATGAAACCAATAAACGAACGATTGGCTTACTCCAGGGTACGCCTGAAATTCTTCGCCTTTGGGGGACCAAACCGTGTTGCTACAAGCTTCAGAGACTTCTTGAATAGGGGAACTTGCTGTATTTCTTCCACGTCCAAGTGCAAGTCGCTTGACCATTCAGAACAAATGGAGACAATATCCTATGGTATGACGTTTCGTGAGAAGCAGTGAGGGACTACGGCCACTGGATTTGAGGGGCGCTAAATCATACAAACACTGACTTGAATGACCTCTTTGCTAGTGATAGCTCGAAGCAGATCAATCATCCTGTCTTGACTATGCATGTTGACGAGGTCAGAAAGCACTCTCGCAAAATTCATGGCTGCAAGGCCACATGCAGATATACCGCGACCATTGAACTGACTCGTGCCAGGATAAGATACGATGCGCTCCCTTCCCTGCAAGATATCCACTATGTTATCGTTGGGTCCGTTGAGGTGAATAGCTGTGACCATAACTGTTGTGTGATGGTTGTGGATCACTGATCAGAAGGAGTGAACGAACGGTGTCAACCGTGACGTTGAGCTTAAGTTAAGTTACATAAGTACAGGATGGGTAGAGTAGTGCGGCATGTTTTGTCACGTGACATTTGATTGGACCGGAAATTCGAACATCCAATCCGAGCTCTCGGTATCTTTCATTGCCATGATCAGAGACGAAAACGGGATGCGTGGTACTTGCTCTGGAGTAACTTGGTGTGCATTGAGTTGCGCAGCCATATACTGATCAGATCAAGTACTTACAACGTCCACCGGAAATTTAACAATTCGACTCTGCTGTTCTCAGTGTTGAGCGGCTTCTGTATTTCGACGACTGAAATATAGCGTCCTTCAAGCGCCGGGAGCGTTGCCTTTCTGTATGGATCATGATGATCGTATGGGCTCAATTGGTATATATTCGGGTCAGTTCAATCATCAACGTGCTGAAATATACATTACGGATGGGCCTAATACCTATTAAAAGTAGCTCGACACGATGACGAGCTCACTCGCGAGACATTGCTATACTGGATGTTTGTTCTCGCCAACACGAGTGAGCGCATGTCACGCTTTTATCAGACACCTGACTGTCCAGACTCTGCTAAAGTCAGCTACAGTTACCGAGGCGTACTTCCTGGCACGAGACCTTGCTTCTGGAAGATTAATGTAAGATGATGTTCATGTGGTCTTCCTCTTATCTCCAGGAGAGTATTTATCCCTGCTGTTTCCCGTGCGACATGCTTGGAGCTTCTATCGATACCTGTCATGGATTTCGACCTTGTTGTTCGCAATGGTACCGTCGTGACTGCCTCGGACATTTGGGAGTCTTGTGATATTGGAGTGAAAGTACGAATATCACCTGATATTGTGTTCAAGTTTTACTAACGTGTCACTGCCTATGTTAGGATGGAACCATCGTCGCTGTTGGTCCTCGCCTTCCAGCCGCACCGGGCGCGCAAGAGATTGACGCTGAGGGGGCTTTTATAACTCCTGGAGGAGTCGACGCTCATGTTCATCTGAGCCAGGCTAGTACATTTCTTTATCTTCTGCTCATATATTTATCATATTGTTTAGTTTTTTGAAGCCACCGTCGGTGTGGACATTGATCACTCTATCATCACGAACGGGATCGTCCCCGATCCCGAAAACTTTGTCGGTGACACGTTCGATACGGGCACACGCAGTGCGATAGCTGGAGGGACGACAACAGTAATTACGTTCGCTTCTCAAATGAAGAAGGATGAGAGCATCATTCCTGTTATCGAGGACTATCACAAGCTCGCCAAGGACCAGTCCTACTGCGACTACGCTTTCCACGTCATCATTACCAATCCGACGCCCCAAATCGTCGAAGACGAATTCCCACGGATGGTTGATGAGTACGGAATTACGAGTGTGAAGCTGTACATGACATATAAGCCATTAAAACTTCTGGATTATCAAATTCTCGATGTCATGTATTCCGCCCGGAAACTTGGTATCACCACGATGGTGCACGCTGAGAATGCCGATGTTATCGACTGGATGACGCAGCATCTGGAGCAGAAGCTCATGACGCATCCTTACCACCATGGTACATCTCGACCTCCGATCGTGGAGGCTGAGGCTACGGTGAGTTTTTGTGCTTTGTTGAGCTGATAATGACATACTCACATTGTAATAGAACCGCGTCATTTGCTTGGCTGAACTCATGGATACGCCGATCCTGCTCGTACATATATCTGGTGGGCCTGCCACGAAGCACATCCGCGACGCACAAACGAGGCTGCTTCCGATCTACGGTGAAACGTGTCCCCAGTACATGTTTCTTCTCGCCGATTCCATGCGAAAGGGGGATTTCGAAGGTAATGATACCTCTGCACTTCTGTTCATTGTCTTATGGACTATGACATGCAGGCGCAAAGTGCATATGCTCGCCTCCGATACGGGAGGACAAGTCTGATCAAGATGCCATTTGGGCTGGGGTCAAGAACGGAACATTCACTATCGTTTCTTCAGATCACTCTCCTAGCAAATTCAATCATCCAAACGGAAAGCAGCGTGGGCTCAAAGACGGAAACCTTCCATATGGCAAATTCCGTCTCGTCCCGAACGGGGTGCCTGGTGTGGAGACCCGTGTTCCGCTTCTATTTTCCGGCGGCGTCCTTTCCGGGCGCATTTCTCCACAGAAGTTCGTCGAGGTCACGTCCACAAACCCAGCTAAGCTATACGGATTAAAGAAAAAGGGCAGCATCGCCCCTGGCTTTGACGCTGATCTGGTTATCTGGTACTCGCAAACAAAGTTCCAGCCATTCAAGCTCACGAACGAGATGCTGCACCATGATGTCGACTATACGCCGTTTGAGGGTATCGAGTTTAAGAATTGGCCTAGGTACACAATCATCAGGGGTAAGGTAGTATTTAGCCATGGGGAGGTAGTTGGGGAGATGAAGTACGGTCAGTACATCCGGAGGGAGCAGAGTCTACTTCCAGGACCAAGAGATATTTGGTTGAGCGAATGGCGGCCCTAAGGTTGGTACGAGAAGCACCTAAACCATTGATTGTTGCAGTCCAATTTTTCATGCTTCCATTGATATCTAGCACTCTGGTTACTGTATGATATAGGTTATACAAACAGTACTAGTTTATGTAACTATGCACTTCCAAATGAAATCGACCATCGCCCTTACCGTCTAATATACTAGGCACACATACATTTACAGGTCCATAACATATCACCCTGACAATCTCTCAGTTTGGTACGTCTTGGCCTTCTCGCTACCTCTTGAATGTGCGGCAGGTGACTTCCGTCTCCTCTAATGTGATGTTGCATTCATACTCGGTATCCTTGCTGATTTCAAGGGTTTTCTCAGATACCGAGTCCTGAAAGACATCCACCCATCTATCAGTGTGTTTTGGCTTGTATTTTGATCTACACTCATTTCTGAGTTGTTGCTATCCCTTTCTTCCCCCATTTTTGACACGCTCAGGGGATGCATGCCCTTAGTTTCCAGCTTCGAGCTCCGAACCACTGGATTCCGAACACTGCTTTGAATCCAGATTAAGCGTACAGGTGCCCCTCACGAGAACTTCGCTGTCGATGTCGCATCTATTAAGTGCTTGTGGTTCGACTCGAGTGGCATTTCAGCCATTCAGGATTCGTCATTCCCCTGCAAATCTTTCCGTTTGATTGTCCTACATGATTCAGATGATTCTATCAAGACTCAGTCTACAAGAATTGTTCTCCATGCGAATGATGCGATGATGTGATACATGCGCTTGTCAGGATATGCACCTACATGTACATCAGCTCTCGATGTAAAGTTTCGTCGTACTCTCCACCTTCTCCCCCAATCCCAATAGCTCTGTCAATTCATTAACTTGATCATCATCCGCATCAACACTTGATATTGACCGCAGTGCAGCCAATACTTTCGACACCGCTGCCTCCATGGAGCGTGACACGTTCTGTTGTCCTCCCTTCACATGTCGCAGGGTATGCTGGACCAGGATGGGGACGACGCGTTGCACACCCTCGTCTAGCCGCTGCGAGGATGCATACGCCCAAGCTTTGCGAATGAGTTTCCAGCACAGTTTATTTGTATTCATCGGTGTGGAGATGCCAGCTGCATCTGTGCTAAAAGTGGTGTGGTGCTGTTCCCTCGCGAGGATGGCTGCTAGGTAAAGCGCGAGATGTCCTGCGTCCAGCTGAGACAGCACCCGCGTGTGCCCACTGCGATTCTCGTTTTCCAGGGTAGCGGCGAGCCCAGCGCATCGCTCAAGGTGCCCGTCGTTCACTAAATACTCGTCCCATTTGCGGGCTTGCTGGAGCGCAAAAATAACTTGAATGTAACACAGGTCACGCCCCAATGATCGCGCACTCTCGGAGAGGGGTAAGGCATTAGAAGGCTGGTCGTCTACAGGAGGATCGATGGAAAGAGCAGCGGTAGAGAACAGCGCAAGGGAGAGATTGACCATCATGCTCGGTGTTAAATCATCTGAAGCCACCTTTCTCCGGACTGCGTGAAGCGCCGCCATTCCAGAGTGACGTGTTCGGGCGGGTATATCCGGACCCATGGCTGCACAAATGCTCGAGTAGTAGACCTGCATCAAATTTTCAGGCCACTCTACCTCGCCTACCGTGCTCATTGCTTGGAGGGCATCGCCCACAGCAAGGTGGTCCTTGGTGTCGCGGTGATGAACAATGAAGTCAAGCAACCATGTAAAGTCTTCCCTGCGGCGCTTTCCATGGTTGATGCCAACCCTGGTGCATTTCCACAGTGCGCGGCAATCACCAGCACTGTACATGAGGTCCGCGTCGGCAACGATACTAAGGTGAAGTGCAGTTCTGGCGCTGCTGAGACACTGATATTGGTGATCCGCGGCAATTGGGTTCAAGGGAGATTTGATATTGGCTCTCTGCACCATGCGTCTGCAAAGTTGCAGGGCCCAGATATGTAGATTATGGTCGCGGAATAGCTGGCGATACTCGACGGCTTCGATGAGAACCGAGAGAGGGCGGAAGAGCAATGCGATATCAACATCTTCGAGACCGTTCTCTTGGTCGTTCGGGGATGTTGCTGATAAACCCTGTTCCAGTGTTGCCTGTAGATCTCGATCCTGCAAGCTTTGTACGACTTGCAAGAGCATAGATTCGAGTTCATCCCTGTAGAACACATTAACCAACACGGTGAATGAACTATGAACCAACGGCTCACCCCCTGTCGAGACGAATCAAAGCATCCTCCTCAAGAGGGATGTCGATGATGAGCGCAGCAGCCGTCAAGCAGTTAACAATCACAGCCCTGGGAGGCAGTGGAAAGACGAGTAAACGAGTGATGGCATCAATAGCCCACATGCGAAGGTGTCTCTCTTGCTTGTAATGTAACAAACAGTGCGGGATGGAGTACGACATCCACGCCAGGTATGAGTCGGGTATGCGGGGGACGAAAGGATGGTGCCCTAAGCTCAGTCGGAAGGCACTCCGTATCATGTCGCAGATGAATTGCATCTCCATATCTTGCAGTACAAGGAAAGTGAACCAAGATATATCGGGAGGCTGTGTCGCGACCGGTATCGCTGATGCCGACTCTAACGGGTCAAAGAACAGCTGATGCATATCCCGGCCATCCAACCGCGTGAAGTATAGGTGGATCAAAGCCTTCCCACAGGCAAGTGCACGCGTCTTCGAATGGAGCCCGAGCTTGGGCTGCCTACCCTGAGTGCTTTCGAAGCAACCTAAAAAGGTATCCCGTAGTTGAATGATTGCAGCAGAGACGTCAATTAGTTTGGGCCATTCAACCTCAGGAACCATAAGCGCAGCTGAAGTGATGACATTTGGATCTGTAGTTGTCTCCATTATCCAGCGAACAGCAGACGCGTCGTGAGGAGCGTCCGCTTTGTGCGACAGCCCAGAGTCATCGTTGTATCTGCGCGCACCATTAACACATAGTCTGAAAGTAGAGGCTATTTCAAAAAGGAGCGATGGGACGCGGCCCGCTAATGTGATATGTAATCTCCGGATCGAACGACTGATTCTTTGTAATGCGAAGCGGAGGATTGTCGATGTAGTGGTCTGGAATGGACAAGTCGGAGAAACGACGCAGGATACGACGATGGCGCCGTAAAACAGGGCCCCAAATGCCATCGTCAACACGACTGGAGTTGCAATGGTCGGCTGCTGCGTCCAAATGGTAGCACCTAGAGCAATTCCGAATAAAAGCAGGGAGATCTGGATCAACAACGGAAGCGCCTCCAAGACAGCACTAAAGTACCACGTCTGGAGACCATCCATCTTCTGTTGCCTCAGACGACCGCGGACGTCGATCGGGCCACGTCCGCAGCGCACGAAGTGCCCTAGCCATTGCTTCCCTAGTACGGCACCCAGCGCAGCAATGAGACTGGTGCTGAGACTGGCGTACATGAGACACTGTATCCAAATCTCAGTCTCCCCTGGTCCATTCCATTGTGGGAGGTCGGGCTGTCGACCATCAAACGTAGTGTTGTCGAGTGTGTGTATAAGCAGTTTTAAAAGAGCGTTTGTCATCTTAGTTTCGTCCGGACTGAGCGCGGATTGAAGAGAAACTATGAAAGTGGTGCTGACTGCGGAAAAGAGACCTGACTGTGTATTGTGGTCAGGATCGCGGTTCCACATAGGAACACATCGAGATGGAGATTTTAACTGCTAGGCACTCACAAATATAAGAACGATATCCATGTCACCCTTGTGTTTTTCAAGAAACTCCTCGACATGATACCCAGCCTCGCGTTCATATATCGTCCAAAATTGACCCCGAATGTTCTCGTCGTTGTTCCGATCAAACTCCGAGTCAGATTTGCTTGACGTCCCGCCTGTCACAGACAAGCTCGAACTAGAGGTGCAACATCACATAGTATCGCTTCGTTCGTGAATATTTGAATATCCAACAGGAATTGCTCACTAGGGTACTGAACCGCTTGGTGACTGGCCCACCAAGGTAGCACTGCGGCTCGTATACGTCGAGTAGAACATAATACTAATCCCAGAACTTTCCGGTAGCGTTTCCGGGTGAATTGCAGAACGAAATGCGATGTGTAACACCTCTGAGAAGCTACTCGGGATTCCTGCTAATCGGATGGGCCGCGCCGCCGCAGTAAGTTTTTTAAAGGCTTTGGCTAACCTAAACTGCACTAGCTTGCTCCGAGATTCATATGCATGTCACGTGATTGCGATGTATTTGATGTTCCACATCCCCCTAAGGTCCTGTGTAAGAGTCCTGGATTGTATAAAGAAATTCCCAGACTAGTGAGTTAAACCCGATGTTCGCAAAGGTTGCTCGCGCGACAGGCTGTAGTCACCAAGTGTTGCTGGTGAGGACGATTGTTTATGGTTTTTGATACAGCCGCGATTAATTTATTACACCAGCCAACAGCCTAAATGCGAACTACGTGCCTCAAGTCGAAGCCACCAGCCAGTCTGTGACCCCAACGGACCCCACTCCGAAGTAAAAAGTCGAAGCCATCTTTAAAATGAGTCTGGTCTAAGGGAGATAAGGCGTACGATCATATCTGTATGAAATCCATATGGTCAGCGGCATCGGCACTTGGATATCACTGAGTATTAAAGCACATTAATGACCACTGAAGTTTGATTGAAGTCGCAGTACTCATCGAGATCAAGTACGACCGTTTGATAGACCATGATGTTTACTAGTAACTACTAATGTACTAGTATGCATGTGAACTAGTGATCGGACTTTGAACGATTCAGTTTGAAATTCCTAACAATGGCGGGCATCAAGTGTATGCTACTCGACCTGGTGCATAGCGTACTGCTCAACGCCAGACCAGCTGTGCCATTCCTCTGTAACTTGCTGCCAAATTCGCAGAATCGTGAGCGCCGTCTCATGTCCGAGTCGGCACCTATGAAATTTTAAAGCTATCGACAGTCTAGGCGACCGCAGTGTAAATGTGTTGGACCTGAGAACCCAAGTCCGGTACCGTTCAAGAACAACTAGACTTGACACCATTCAGTATAACTCAAGTCCAAGTGGGATAACCTGGCTATCCGATTGCAAGTTCGTCGAATAGCCTTGAGTAGTCAGCACGCAGCTGAACTCTCTCACTCTTCCAACTATGCCGCTATCCAAATCGTGTTTGGCCTCGCAATGCCAGATTGGGCTTATCCGCATCTCAACAAGGCTCACATTATGCACGCGATATCGAAAGTTGACAGCAAGTGCCATGGTCGGCCTGGGCCCTGCAGCCCCCAGTCCATCGCCTCCCGAATGACACGTATGGCCATTAGTATTAGTACTGGCAGAAAGGTAAGCTGTCCGTGCCATCCATTTTGCCCCTTGTCCCTGCATGACCTATTTGCCATCAGTGTGACATGAATATGGCCAAAAACGGGCCGCCAACATTACGACACTCGGGGAGATGCTTGAAAGTTTCTGCGTATTCTGATGGACTGTTTATTTAATTCAAATCCGTCTGTTCTAGCTCGGAGAATCTGCGGCGTTGCGACGATATTGGTTACTAGCATACGTCCTCTATTTCCGATGGAACGTTATCGACAACATACTGCAACCTATGGGGGTTTATGGGCCTCAAATTGCCAAGAATAGCCCATCTTATTAACCTTCTGATCAGTATTTTTGTCACTATAGGTTGGCACCACAGGGTGTCTCCGGTGTCCCTCCGTGGTTCGAGCACATTTGTGAGTCCAGCCCAGCCTGGATTTTTGACTTTTCTGAAACAGCGAGACAGCAATTACTACCGTAGGCCTCGTGCTGCGCGCCCTCCTTGATAATCTCATGTGATGTCTTATCATTTCCTTTTGAAACGTTTCAAACTTAGCTCTGTTTCGTCACTGAGAGGTGCTTCGGAGATTCATGGTGATGGTACCATTTTGCTATGTTTCTGAAGTTTCGAAGTATAGCCAACGATACTTGAATAAGTAGTATCTTGCCAATGGCCCGGTAACCCAGGTTCGGCACGAATCGAGGGCATCAGACCTCTAATCGATATGAACGTGGGACATCGATACGAGACAATGTTGTTGTTCTTGTGGGTAACTAGTGGAGCCTTGCAGTAATTAATCATGAGATGCCCTCAAATTCGGTGCTCCATTTGTGTTCTGCTGCACATGGGCTGTTGTGTATTTTCGGTCAGTGGTGTCAGAACTAGGACTGGGGCGAAGTTCATCTCCGGCCCCACAACATATGCATGAGATAACGGATCATATAAGCATAAGTCGTATGGACTGAATGAAGTCATTTTTTAGTGAGATTACAGGACTACGACGATTAAATCCCAGGTCAATGACCAAAGGCGCGAATGTGGAGACGATGGCAGAACCAAAGCCAATAATTCATTACCTCAATATTACTATCAACCATTACACCGAGGTCATCGTTTTATGTAATCGATGACTCGGAAAACTGGCCGAGGCTTCTCAACTGCGCAAACTCTGAACTGTTGCAGCTAAACTCAAATGTTTCGAAACTCAGATCAGGACCCTGACCTGGTGACCGGCAATACAATTGGGATGATTATAACAACCCTATTCGGGTCCACATTCAGGTATGATTATTTTATTTATCCTAGAGTATCCAAGGCGAGTAAAAGTGCAGTGCATGTTGGCCTAGAAATGCGATGGGTATTAGAACCCCCTGGGGCCTGCAGGCCTGTATAGCTATGAGGAATCTTGGCGAGGGGAATTCCTGGAATGGAAGCTTAAGGGAAGGTTTGATCAGTGGCCAATAACGTGATGTGTACATGGTTCTGTCACCACATTCGGTAACTCATAGTGTATACCACATCAAGTCTGAAGTGAGAGTTTCGCTTCATCTTCCTTAGGCCCCCTCCCTCTTAATTAGAATCTGTTATATAGTTCTCTCTTTAATCCACCTTTTTCTCACCTCTGTCGATATGCTCACTTTTGCCGATAGGCTCAACGCCCAGGTTCGTACATCCCCTGGGCCACCCCAGCCAGTTCATCTTCTTCATAACAACATTTTCTTCCTTCTTTGTAGGTTGCTGACTCTGCAATCGGACGATGGTTTCGCCTAGAGGGCTCTGGTCATGCCCGCGAGCGCGAAGGTTCACGTTTCATGGTTCGTTGCCTGTTCTAAAGCTACCTCAGACCTCATAGTCTGATGTGATTTGCATTCACCAGACAGATGTTCGTGCAGGTATAACGACCTGGGTGAGAAACAATCTTTCACCGTTGAAATTATTTTTGTTGACACCCTTGTCAGGCGGCCATGGCGTACATCGTATGTTTTTGTTCGTCATCGTCAAATCACCATTCAATTAAATGATCTTTCCCTGCAAGATCTCTGTCAACGCTTCCATCGTATCCGATTCTGGGGGAACTTGTGTCTGTGAAGCTGCCAATAACTGTGTCACCGATGCAGCATATCTCCAATGTATCCAAGAGGTGAAACAAGATCTCATCACTTCCACAGCAGCCATGTCTGCCCTTGCATCAATCTTAATGGGCGCCCTTGCCAATTTGCCTGTGGGTATGGCTCCAGGGATGGGTCTTAATGCCTATGTACGTCCGTCAGCAACCTGACGACTATCTCGATTCCACTAGACATGCTCATTAATACCGTTTCGACAGTTCACCTACTCTGTTGTTGGTTATCACGGCAGCGGCTTTATCACCTACCGGGAAGCACTTGCCGCTGTCTTCCTGGAAGGGTAGGTCAATTTCTCCTGCGGGACTCCTCGCCTGACTAGACGCCCTTTGCAGATGGATCTTCTTCATTCTGTCCCTTCTCGGTTTACGTCAATGGCTTGCTCGCATTATGCCGCAATCACTTGTCCTTGCTGTAGGTGCTGGTATCGGATTGTACATTGCGTAAGTTCATGGTTCTACACCGATCGTTCATGAACCTGCGACTGATGCTCCCATCATCCTACAGCTTCATCGGGTTGAGTTCGTCCACGCATGTTTCTTCTCGTGGGTATCGTTATTCATCAGTTTCACACAGCATCCGGTGGCTTGAATGTGATTGGAGGTGACACCACCAACCTTGTTGGCCTTGGCGGCTGTCTTGAGTCAGGTACACTCCTTTAATTGACATGGCATCGCTGCATCGCCATCGAGTCTGACAGTTTACATTTATAGATTGGTTGGAAGGTCTACCATACTTCTGTGGTAGTCAAGTTCTACGGAGTCCTACCACATGGCTTGGTATCTTTACCGGCGGGTATGTATGGTCCGCGTCTTATCTTTATCTTTACTTACGGCATAACCTAACCTAGCATCCTCACGATCTTATTGATGCTTTATCGTGTCAAGGGGTCCCTCCTAATCGGTATCTTCATCACTTCCGTAATTTCTTGGCCACGAAACACTTCTGTCACATACTTCCCACACAACGAAGCTGGTGATCAGCTGTTCGATTTCTTCAAACAGGTCGTTACTTGGCATCCCTTAAAACATATTGGTAATGCACTAGATGTAAGTAAAATCCCAACGATATACAGGGGCGAAGCTCATGTTTCACTTCCAAGTATAACTATGGTAAAGGAAAGGTGTGGTACGCACTAATAACCTTCCTTTATGTCGATATCTTGGGTAAGTGTTTCAATAATTGAAGTCACGCCTGGAATCAACATTTTATTAAGATACCACCGGTACTCTTTACTCTATGGTTAAATTTGCTGGCCTTCGTGATCCCGTCACCCTTGATTTCGAAAACTCTACCATCGCATACTGTGTCGATGCATTCTCTATCTCCATGGGTGCACTCGCAGGTACAAGTCCCGTCACGGCATTCATCGAGAGTGCCACCGGTATTG